TAGTCATCTACTTCCTCTATCCTCAAAGCTTCTACCTAAGTTCAGGCCACTGTTATTAACTGCAGAGTCTCCAGTGTTGTATCTTCCCCCCCTTCACAGAATCCTCACAATCATCCTGGGACAAAGGCATTACTATCCTCACTTCACAGCTAAGGAGACTAAGACTTAAAGTGGATTTTGAATTTGAACTTAGGTAATTCTTAGTAAGAGTCCAGAATGATGACTTTTGCTTCCCTAGGTCCCTTATATGCTTGTTATTCTGTGTACTGTGTCTTCCCCCACCCCACTCCCTCTGCCCTATTTGGGAAGCTGACCTCTCTGAACTACATCATCCAGACTACCTTACCCCTAGGCTTGTTTGGATTTTGCCAATGGAAAGTACTAGCTGGAGACATGAGAGCAGGAAGAGAGAGAAAGTTTAGAGCATTTATTTCTTTACTTCATTTCTGCTTAGAGCAACTGCTTAGCCCTTCTGGCCACAGCTCTTGTCAGGCAGTCCTCTTCCAGATTGTAGCTGTAGGTGGTCTCTAGGAACAACACTCCTTCTCCTTCCCCTTCCCCCTCGGGTCTAGGAGTCCTACTAACTTGCCACTGTTGATGTGTTTCAACATTTCTTTCTAGTTCCTGTGAATACTGATTGTACTTCTGTAAACAATCCTTTGGTTAAACTCTTCATTTAAATCCTTTTGAATGCACCAGCTATTTTTCTGCAAGGATTCTGACTGATAAACTAGGAAAACAAAACAAAAAAATGGCATGTTGTTGCACTTCGATTCATTCAATTTCTAATATCTTTAATATTAAAGAAGGAGTCTCCTTTTCCTCTGATCTAAAGTTTTCCATCCTTCTGGGATTCCCTGGTCTTCCAAGAAGCCTCTCTAAAATACTGTTACCTACAGAAAAACACTGTTGTTGCCACTATTGTGCCGTGTGGCATATCTAGTGTGATATTAGTACTCTATTGTCCTATAGTTCTATGATCATTCAGTTTTGTCAGTCTGATCATCCCTGCAGGGCAATAAGCTCTTAGCAGTAGGGAACTTCAGCAATTAGAATCTCTAATGACAAACACATTTTAAAAGGAAACTTAGAGGTTACCTTGTCTAACTTCTTTATTTTATAGATGTGGTTTAGTTTTACACAGCTACAGAATAGTGGCAAACCCAAACCCATCATCTAGATTCTTCCTATTGTTTCACATGCTGTGATAACTGCGCTGGGTATGCAATATGCTAATGACTCATACTTAAATTTTTTCAGTTTTTGTTTTGTTCAATGCTAAGCCGTGTGCCTAGACAACTATCCAGCATACAGTATGTGCCCAGCAAGTATTTGCTCATTTTGAACCTGTGATGCAAGACTAATTCCTTAGAAGTTAATCAGAATTCAGAGGATCATTATAATAGTAAACCCTATACACCTAGAGAAAGTGAATAGTTTCAAGGTGCTTTCACATTTAAATGAGCCCATTTGCTCCCTCTGAGGTAGACATGGCAGGAATTATTAGTCTATTTTAACAGATGCAGGAAACTGAGCCTCTGAGAAGTTAAAAAGCAAGGTCCTTTATTAGTATGTAGTAGAGCTGATACCAATATTCATGTTTTTTTACTTCCACTTCAATACCATTTCCATTATTCCATGTTGCTTCTTCAGCTTTGCTATTCTGCTTCTAGGTATAGCAGTTTCATTCATGGAGTGAGTCTGAATATTCACAATAAATAGGTAAATAAATAAATAAATAAATAAATAGGTAGATCATATACTTGTGCTCAAAGAAGTGATTTTGCTCCTTTAAAAATCCACTATTGGGGCACCTGGTTAAACAAAGGATTCTTGGCTTCTGCTCAGATCATGATCTGGGAGTCATGAGCTTGAGCTCGTCAGGCTCTGCTCTCAGTGAAGAGTTTGCTTGAGATTCTCTCTCCTTCTGCTCCTCCTGCTCATGTTCTCCCTCTAAGATAAATAAACCTTTTTAAAAATCCATCATTAAAAGTACTTCTATTCTACTTCTGATTAGATAAAGCCTGCAGATTATCACCATTCTTCTTTCTTTTTGAGATTTTATTTATTTATTTGACACAGAGAAAGAGAGAGAAAATGAGACAGAGGACAAGAAGTGGTAGTGGCAGGCAGAAGGAGAGGGAGAAGCAGCCTCCCTTAGCAGGGAGCCCGATATGGGGCTCGGCCCCAGGACCCTGAGATCATGAGCCACAGGCAGATGTTTCACCAACTGAGTCACCCAGGCACCCCAGATTATCACCATTCTTGATTATTATGAGGCCTGTTATTTCCCTGAGGGAGGAAAGAAGGTTATCATCTGTGTGTTTTGGAACAAGGGAGATAGCACTTTTGAGACATGACTTCCTGTACAGATCTCTTACACTTCCTGTACAGCTGGGGCCTTATTAAACTAGGTCTTCAAAGAGAAATGAGTAACCTCTTGTCCTTGGCCTGACCTCACCAGAGAGGGGCTGGGCACACTGGCTTTCTTCAAGATCAAATGCACCGGAGAACTACTTATAAATATTTTGATTGAATTCTCTTACCACAAAGACGTTGGTACAGATTTCACCCTGGGTTTTAGGTATTAGGACGATTTCTGATCCTAATCGGAACATTGCAGAAACCAAAAAGAATCTAAACATATCAGCCATCTTCTTTGGATTTCAATTTCCACTAAAAGCTCAGAGTGTTGACTCAAAAAATGACCCAAGCTAAAGTCCTACATCTTAACAACAGAGGCACAAACTCAAATGCCTACCAGATGCCAGGCAAATAAAGCAAAGCTCACTGTAAGTAAACAAAGAGTAATGGAGTCTGTAGTGAACTATAGTAAATTAACAGTTGCTTTTCAGTTCCAACCACCAGTTGCTTTGTGGGAATGTGAGTTAAAAGTTAACAGATCTCCTTTAAAAAAAAAAAAAAAAAAAGGCTGTAAATCTGCATTGTTAAAATGTGAAATCTGGTTTTAAATAGCTACTAATTCAAACTTGCAAGGCTGTTGCAAGCCCTGGGTAGCCAGCCAGAGTTTGACTTTTCTTTATGGAGTAAGTCTCGTGTGCCAGATGAGAGAATGATAACAAATGTGCCACTTTCAAGTCAAATGTAGTATAAGATCTATGCTTTTTTTCGGTGAATCTGGATATTGCTGGAGAAATGGACAAACTCCGTTGAGTTAATAGAATGCGCCTTAGCTAGGAGTTTGGGGGTATCTGTTTCAAGAGGTAACTGGGTAAATGTGTCCCACTTTGGGAAGTATGTGGTGGGGAATAAAAATCCCCTTTGCTAGGTATTCAGGCAAACTTATCTTCTCTGGAGTGTCTGGGAAACCCTTATGTATATTCAAGTATGGGGAGGGGGCAATAACCTCGGGGAGTATCGGGAGAACAGTTTACAAGAGAGTATGAGGATAGACAGGTGTTAGTGGGAAGTACACACAGCTGTACCCCAGTCAGGTAGTCTCTTCAGGGTTAGTCTCTTCAGTGTTGGGAGGGAGAAGGCAATAACCTCTCCTCCGGCGCCACCTTCGGGCGCTTCTGGCTCACCATTGCTGTGCTGCCGCCAACTTCACGGATCTCCATCTTAACGCTTTCTGCGCAAGCGCCCTAGAGGCCCAGGGTAGGGTTTAGGGCAGAGTCCCGCCTCTGACCACGCCCCTCCTCACTAGCAGGGGGCGGGGGACCACGCCCCTCTTCTCAGGAGCCCGCCAACCGCCCCTCCCGCCTTGGTTTCCCAAAGCAGTCCTGTAGCTGTTGGCCTGGCTCTAAGTTCCTGACGCTGGGGAATACAGATGAAATACTCAGACCCTGCCTTTGGGTAGATCGCAGACTTTTGAGGAAGACAAACAAGTAAATTATAACTTAAGTGCTCTGCGAAGGGGTTCAGGGTTGGTTGGGTCCTAAAGGCTGCCATGAAGTAGCAGAACCTAGAAGGCCATGGAAAAGCCTGCAGGCCATTCCAGGAAGGGGGAACAGAATGTGCAAAGGCACTGAAGGGTAGGAGTGCAGTGTGTGTGTATGGTTGGAACTATAGGGAAGAGCTTTAGAACAGCTAACTACAGGATGGTAGGGGGGTGTCTGCACTGTCCTGGAGGATCTTAGAATTTCAGCCCAAAGGCTAGGATAGGTAACTACTGAATAGTTTTAACAGGAGAGAGACCAGAATCTGTGAAGAGGGCTGGGGCAGAACGGAGGCAGGTGATTATCACAGTAATATCCAGATAAGAGGAACTAAAAGCCACTATTCCATTTGTGGTACTGGGAACCAAGGTAAGACAATGGATTCAATAGGTAAGTTTAAGGCAGAAATGACAGAGCACAAATGGCTTCCAGAAGAAGGAGGAAGTTTTAAAAATAACTGGGGAACTGAATTGTAAGGATTTATTTAGCAAGCAAATGGAAATGAGGAACTGGAAGGCTGGAGTTAATTCCCTATCCTATGCTCCCCCTCAGCTCCCACCCCACAAGGGTTAAGAAACTAGGTAAGCACTTTTTTGTGTCAGTTTCTCTGATCTCCCTGCCAGGAGGCCTCATTTTACCTTGTTTCTTCCAATATAGGAAGAGACTTTTTACTCCAGCTTTATTTCCTTGAATCTTCCCAAATGAAAGTCCAATTTCTACTCTTAGGCCTATTCCTCTGTCCTGTACATGGCAGCCTCAGCCCTCTACCAATCCCCAGAAACACACCCTTACCTTGTCCTCACAACATGGACTAGTTTATACTACTAGCACATGACATCTCCTACTCTTCTGGACCTTTTGCAGGAAGCTGATACCTTGGGTCCCCATGACTCTGTTACTGGATTGGTAGTCTCAGGTCAAGGCCAAGATGCTAGCCCACATTACCTGCTTTACTGCTTGGTACTTATCCAGAGCTGTTTTACATTGTTGGGGAAAAGAGGCAGCAGAGCCAGGTAAAAAATTTACCATTATACAGGCTTACACAGGATAGTCATTTCTATAGCTTTCCACACCTTAACAGAATTACGGGACCCCAGAGGCTGCTCTAAGATAATTTATTATAGACTAGCCAAAAATGTCCTGTGACAATGGCACATACAGTAATTAACAACAGCAAAGATGCTTAGTTTCTTGTTATATGTAATGGCTGGTACAGCTGTGGATAACACGGAGTCCTCAAGAGGTCCAGGAGGCTGCTACCAAGGATATCCAAGAACCATGTCACTTCTCTGATCAAGGGCTGAGAAGTTCATATGACCTTCTAAAAGAATTTGTCTTTGACTTCCCAAGGAATGTTGATGGCCCCTCTATCCAGCCTGTACAGAGGGATCATAGTCCAAGCTCCTTCTGTAGGGTTGAACATCTGTGAGGCGAACAGCAGCTGACCTAGATGAAAGGGAGTGAGGCCAAAGACTAGATTCCTTCTGCAAAGGAGAGAACAACCAGAGGCAGTAGCCATAGGTGAAGAGGACTCCTTCTAAACTGGTTTCTACAATTTTTGGCTTTGTTCAGAGTCTATCCAAGAAGAAAATACAGCCCTCTTTCCTGGATCCTTCAACTAGCCCTCAGGTGCACACACAGAGGAATAGCCTCTCATGTTCTGAAACAACATTGTTCCCCTTCCTACAGGAGTGAAGGAGGGGGACTCCTGGGCAGGTGGCCTCTTTGGAATATTCTGCTCAGGGCTCTGAAGTATCATGTGAACCTATTCTACTCATGACATATTTGGGGAAAAAGATTAGCACAGCTCATTTCCAGAAGGTATCTTGTTCAGTCTCAAAGCCTTGTTTTCATGGAGCCACACAAAACCAGTGGATCCTGCTCAAGGGAGACTCTAAATTCTCTTCTGTACATTCCTGCCCCGGCCATACTCCAATCCAGACTATAGGGCTCAGCAACACCTTGAGGCTCAACTGACTATTTAGCTAACCAGATACATGCTCCAGGCTCTCTAAACTTGTTCTTCTAATGGTTGATATGTATGGGTCTAGCTGGATAAGGTGTGGCATGAAGAGGGGTGTCTACAAAGAATGGCTGATACTCTCAGAAATGTCTGTCCCTCCCTTTATGGAAAACTTCCCTATGCAGTAATACCCACAGCCCAGCTCCTAGCACCACAGACCTGCTGGTCAGGGATTCGTGACCCTTTCTGTGAAAAGCCATACTTTCATCACCCCAAATTTTTCCTTTAATGTCCTCAAACTGAAGGAGTCAGCCTCTCAACTATGAGGACCTTAAGCTGGTTACATAGTAACTCTCACTGGCACTGATTTGTGGAACTGATGCCATCTGGTTGGCACAGGAAGCTAGGTGCTCAGCTCTCCTCTTCTATGGAACGAGACTCTGATTTGAGCTTCACAAACTCTCGAGCCACTTCGTCATTGCTCCTCTGAGATAGAATCCGGAGAATAGTCATTCCTGTCTCATCCATGTGGATCTTCCGGCCCAAGGGGCACCAGCAAGCACAGCTGCCCTTGGCTGCCACATCCCTCAGAGGCATCACAGCCAGCCCCAGAACACGATCCTCACGGGCAAAGCAGTAATCCTTCACACATATTTGCAACTCATAGGCTTCTGGTCCCTCTTCATTTCCCAGGAGGCTGTGAGCACAGGATGGGTGGAAGGGAGGAAGCCAGAGCTGAAAGAGTCTTCAGATGAATTTACCCCAGCCACCATCTGACCCATTCCCTCCTCTTCCCTCTCAAGTCTTACCTCCCAGCTCACCCCCACCCCAGAGTCCTAGAGGTCCCCTACCCCATAACTCACAAGTGAAATGTCTCATTGTACTTGGGGGCCCAGTTGTTGCTCTTTGATTTGGTTGTGAACTTCCTCTTCTTGTCACTTTGGTGTGGGCCAACCATGGTCACTTCCACAAAGGGCCGGAACATACCTGCTGTCTGCCACTTGAGGTCATTGGCTGCTACCACTGCCCAAACAAAGGAAGCCTGTGAGGGATCCCACCATGTGTTCCCAGTTCTTGAGCCCCCAGGTGGCAATCCCCTTGGAGGAAGGCTAAGTTCGAGGACTGAGATAAAGCAGCCCCTGCCTTTAATTGATGAGGCTAGTGCATAAGAAACAGTCTACAACTTGTAAGTCTGTGCCACTCACCTTTCACTGTGACCTTGTGCTCCCCAGTTCCAGGATGTGTAAACAAGTCCACCTGAATGGACACTTCTCCCACAGGATCATCTATACCAGACCCTGAAGGACAGATGGACAGTTGGTCCCTCACTGAAGAACACTAAGACTTCAGGCCTAATTATCCCAGGTAAAACTGAGGAGTTAGGAGGCCACCACCTTATATCCTAAAGTCTGAAGCAATCACCCAAAGTAGCCATGGAGAAGTAAGCAATGGGAGAAGGGAAAGCAAGAGGATAAAGAATGAAGTTGTGTATTATAATACATTAAGGTGACGACATCTTAGGTGAAATGTTCCAAAAATGCACTGGGAAATCTCTCCGGTTCCCCAAACCTCTCTTATCTCCCAGGCTGAAGAATTTTTCATTGAAAGATATTAGAGAGAAGGACAGTATCGCCACCTTGTATTTTTGTCTGGAAATTATGGCCACCCCACAGTGTCTCAATGGAACAATGTGGGTCCCTTCTAGCCAAGGCAATACTCTCCACTCTCCCACCTATCCTTGGATTCTGCGACGTCCCTGGTTGGGAGGCTGCCCTGCTCAGACTTTGTCCTATTCACACCTGGACCCCTCCACAAGTCCCAGTCTCTGGCCAGTTTGTAGGCTCCCCTCAGCAGAGGTCTCACTATTTTGATAAAATACCGGTACTCTGCACCCCAGATAAAACTCTGTCCTCAAGTGGAGGGGTGGGGGAATCCTGAGGACAGAACTACTGTCAACCCCTTCTCAGACTGTATGAATACAACACTCATCTCTGAGACTTGGGATAGAGCTTCTGAACTTTGACACATAGCTCCCATACTGCCAGCCTAAGCAGCAGCTCATTCTAGTTCATAGGGAACAGTGTTAGCCTATGTTAGATTCACATGTGCAAGGTATACAACATACCCTTTTCCGGCCGAATGTCCTCATTAGCTGTAAACCTAATACCTTTCCCATCATGCACTGAGTGAGAACAGGCAAGTCAAGAAGTAGTAGCAGCAGCAGGACAGAGAAAGAATAATCAGTTAGAGGTCTAAGGTGTTAACAGCCATCTGGAGCAACTCTACACATATTTTGAGGGATCACAGAGCTGAGGTGGAAAGAGAAGTCAAAGAGCTGGGGTCAATGCCTCAGTGCTCCAAATTAGACTTCATAGGTCAAAGATCAACCAGATCATGGGGGAAAAGCAAAAGAACATACAGAGAGAAGGTATTTGAGACCATCAGGCCAGGAAAGAGAGATGTTGTAGGCTTTAATTTCCTAGGCCTTAAATGATAAAACAATGGGTACGAAAGGTATACACACACACTTGGATCCTCCCTGCAGTACCTGCCCTTGCTCTTATCACATACGTGCCCATTTCAGCCTTTCCTCATCTTTACATCTAGCTTAAAATTCAGGATTTCTAAAAAGTCTTTCTGGATGAACTCAGATCCTCCCCTGATGTTACAGGTCTTTCCATGTACAGCTCTTTAAAAGATCTCCATGCCCCCTTGAGCAAGGCTCATAACTCCTTTGCTCTCTCTTCTTCCCATCCTGGACTTGAAATAAGAACAGGTGTGGAAAATGGAGGAGTGCTACAAGTCCCTTGCATCTTTTCACCTTCTATCAACTCTAGTCTAACTGCTTAGATCCCTCTTCCCCTTCAGGTCAGCTCTGAGCTCTGAATCCACAGCCTAAGAAAGCCTAAATTCTCCCACTCCCGCCATCAGATTCACTCGGCATCACACCCAGGGTTCCCCAGATGAAATAATAAATGTGCCTGAAAGTCTTTTCTGGGAGGGCTCTGATCCAGGGCTAGGGGCAGAATTTCAGTCTGAACCATCTCTAGGTAGATGTGTTTTGTTTATAGAGAGGACTGCCTAAAGAGGGGAGGGGTTCTAAGGACTGGAAGTCACTGGGAGAAAACCAGCTACCTGGGCCCCTACGCATAAGCATCACCCATGAGGCTGGAACCTCAGCTATGCACAGAGCCCCAAGATCCACATCCTCTTTTCAACTGCTCCCATAGTTTGCCTCTCCTAGTCTTTTTTCTCATCCACACTAGACAATCTGTAGTCTTTTGCTTTCTCTCTCCAGGATAACTTCCAACAAGATTCCCAAAGCTATGAGTTTTCTTGAGTGTCTCAATCACTCATTCTCCAGGCTTCCTGACAGATACTTCCTAAAAGACAGGGTACACTCCTTGATAAACATGCACTAGCCCGCAAATGTCTGGAAAAAGAATCTCAGGCACATTTCCCAGGTACCTGTCATTTTCCTGTCTGGTATGGGTATGGTGTGGGGGTGAGTACTGGGGTCCCTCAAGAAATCCTGGGATCTGAGTTTGATAGGCTCTCTGGAGAAGTACCTGGATCCTTCCTAAGGGCTGGAAGCTAATGACTCCCTAGAGGCAGAAATGTATCAAGGAATGGAGATAGGGACCCAAAGCCCTTAGGCCTTACCCTGGGCAGTCTGTGAGCGCACAAAGGTTTTGATGAGTGTGTCGGTGGTCTGTGTGTACAGAGATAGGGCATAGCGTAGGGACTGCAGATCTGGGCTCTTCTCCAGGAAGGTTTTCTTCAGCCCATTACCTCCTGCATGAAAGTATTGCTGAAAGACAAAAGAATACCTGCTATAGCCTCCTCCCCTTATAAAGAAGCAGCTTTCCACACTGTCCTCAGAGAAAATCCTATCTGAGCAGAAGCTCAATGAAGATGCCAAAAGAGGATGATGAGGACAATAAGCCATTCAATAGACAACAAGATCGGAAATACCACACAGAGTCACAATCTCTCAGGTGAAGAGTTACTATTTGTATAGGAGCAGTGAGGAGGGATGGCCACATTCCTGGATGCGGGTCTTTGAAATATGGATCTATCCAGACTAGCAAAGATAGGGAATAGAAGCATTTCAGGCAGAGAATTGCCAGAAGTGCTCTTTTACCCCTCTGAACTCTTATTAGAGAACATTATCCTTTAACATAATTCTCCCAACTGCCCCATATCACGGTTTATGTGTACCTGCCTTACCAAATTATAAGCATCTTAAAGCTAGGAACTATATCAGATTTTCTCTGTATCCTTCATGCACAATGTCATGTGCACATGTTGCCTGGCTGAATGAAGGAATGGGTAGTAGAAAGCCCAAATAAATTTATATATAAGTGGAAGAGGGAAATTTCTGCCAGATCTGGGGTATGAGGATCTGAAAGATTAATTCCCAGTGGAAAATATTCAGGAATGGCAATAAGAACTAAGTAGACTGAACTATACTCAAAACCCAGGAATAGTGCTCTGGGTCTGTGGTAAGTCATCTGAGACCATAAAGGAGGTAACTTTTGGTTGCTCCCAAGCAGAAATATGGATACAACAGGGAAAGTAACAAACATAAAAAATCACTCTCTTCTGGATGTGGGGAGGCAAGAGCCCAGGGGACATCAGTTTGGCAGAGTGGAACACCAGGAACATGAGGCATGACTGTTTGGAGAAGAGGCAGGTCTCCACCTTGATGGTGTCCAGAGCGAGGTCAAGGACGGCACACTGCTTTGGAGTGAGATTCCGGGTTTCCTCTCGTACCATGTGGTCCTGGAACCCCAGAGAAAGCAATAGCATCAGGACAGCTTGGGGCTGCCATGACAGTCTTTCCCCATCTGCAAGCTTATATTACATGTTCCTCTCATTCTTTTCCTCTTCCGTCTCCAAAGCTCAAATATTCTTCCTCCTGGCATCCTGTCACCCCCAGCCTGAGAAGGACCCCATACATCCACAGTACCTTGAGTTTGGAAAGATGGCTCAGCTCCTTGGCAGCAGTGAAGATTAGCTGGGTGCCCTGGGCAGAGAGGGGATTGGTCAAAAGCAGAGGACTCCAAACTTGATCAGGAAGTGTGGAGCAAGATAGAGGAGACAACAGGAGGAAGTGGAAGGGGAGCGTCCTTACCGTCTGGTCAGTGAGTGGGGGCAGAACAATCATCCTTTCCATTGTGTTCATCACCACCCGCCAGAGCTCCTTCAGTACACGCTTCAGGACTGTCTTCTCACATACAGTGGCAAAGAGTGTGAGGCTGTGGGCCCATGTAACAGGTAAGACTAGAGCTAGAGTTTGAGAGCCCCTTTCCCTGAGAGGCTTCTCCATGTGATTGCCTCTGCCTTGCCTGTCCCACAGGACAGTTGAGTGCTGTACTCACTTGCCATCCAGGAAGTCCATGAGAGGCCGGAGCACACTATCTGCATCCTGAGCCACTGAAGCCCTGGCGTTGGGGGATGCATTCCCTGGGCCCCGAACCTGGCCCAGGATGTCAGCCATTTGTCGAACACACTCATCAATCCGCACCTGAAAACTACACATGTGCCCGCAGTGCAGCCCTCCCCTGCCCAAACACGCACTGTCCTTGGAGCAACACCAGCTATTCAGTCCCACTCCAGCATACTCCTGATGCAGCTCCAACAGGGACAGCCAACAGGAGGAGAGGAAAGATCCACATCCTGCAGCTGGATGGAGGGTGTGGGGCAGGGGCTTTGGGACTGGCCAGGGGCCATACCTGGCTCTATGGCTGTATGCTTGGGGCCACTGACCTGTTTCCAAATACCATGCTGAGTTCATCCAAAACTGTATTCAGTTTCACCTGCAGCTCCTTCAGACTGTCTGCAGCTTCAGGGTCCAACTGTATTAACAGAAAGTATGCTTGGCTGAGCTGGTTTTTGTACACTTTTCTTCCCTCCTGCACCCCTAAACCCTCCCTCAGAAGGCCTTTACCCCAGTGTCTATTTAAATCCCTCAGCTTAAACCAGCCCAGACCCTAAGCTAAATTGCTGGCGTATACCTAGTCAGGAGATGGTAGAGTTCTATGGCCAGGGAGCTAAGGAACAAAGGGAAAGCACTGCAACCCCACACCCTGAGACCTACCTCCTTGCCTCCCATGGCCTCAAACATTTTCTCCAGCTGGACCCTCAGTTGCTGCATGTTGTTCATCAGGATGCAGGGCTTTGGGGAAGATGGAGCTGTTGAGTCTTGACTTCTTTTGGCACAGGACCTATCAGACTAAGGTATCTCTCTCATACTACTCCAAAAGTGACACAGAATTTACAACACATATTATATGCATCTCTTCCTAAGCACTGAGATCTGGAACCAATTCAGACAGTTCTCCTTGAACGAAGACTAGGAGCAAATGTTTCCGTTTTTAAGCAGGGTGGTGGGCCTCAGGTATGCATGGCATTATTCTTTTAACTCTTTGAATGTCTTAATTTTTTTTTTTTTTAAGAAAGATTAAGTAAAGCTCTAGTAGAAAATTAAGTACCAAATGGAGGTTCAGACGAACTCCTAGTCAAGTTCTTCTTATTTTGTGTCATAATCTCAAAAGAAGCCCTACTGGGAATCAAGTCAGGAGCATCACCCCCACCCTCAGCTCTGAGGATAGCCTCAAAAGCAAGGATTCAAATGTCTTCCACTCTCTTCTCTAGGCTCCCAGGACCTGACCCTCACCATTTTCTCCTTTGTGCAATAATCTGGGAAGCTCTTTGATAAGATGTTTGCATATTGCATCAGCACCTTCCCGATGGTCTGAAAACAAAAAAGAAAAAGAGAAAAGGAAAGGAAAGGGAACCCTTAGCTTTCCCTACACAGATCTTGCCTGAGATCATACCTGTCATCCCAGAACAACAATAGGGAGGTAGAGCGGAATCTCATAGTAAGGGACAAAGCTCCCTCTCAACCCCAGAAACACACCAAGATAAACCCACCAGTCTGCCCCAGACACAAGCAAATGAGAACGGGGTGATGCCAGACTTTACCGGAAGGCCACCACAGAGAGGAACTGAGCTCAGGCCTGTGATGAGGCTGTGAGCATGGTAAAGGCAAATGGAAGGGGAAAGGGAGGGTCATGGTCACCTTAGCAAATCTCCTCATGTAGTGGGCAAGGATGCTGGGGTCTGGGCATTCCAGCTTCCGGATGATTTCAAAGCTCTGGTTTAGCTGTGTGAAGACGTCCACCACAGAGCAGGAAAAGAGTGCATGCTCTGATGTCTGCTGGAACTAAGGAAGGCCAAAAATAGGATTGTCATCTTTAGCCACTACCTTTTCCCAAGTGTATAGGGTTCAAAAGGGCTCTGCCTAGCAGGGGAGGCTCTTTGGCCCTCCTTATGAACTCCACAGGAAAGAAACTAAAGCCCTTTTACTTTTTTTTTTTTTTAAGATTTTATTTATTTATTTGACAGAGAGATATCACAAGTAGCAGAGAGGCAGGCAGAGAGAGAGAGGGAAGCAGGCTCCCTGCTGAGCAGAGAGCCCTAAGTGGGACTCGATCCCAGGACCCCGAGATCATGACCCGAGCCGAAGGCAGCGTAAAGCCCTGGAACTTTTGCTGGCAGCTAAATGCTGGGACACCTGGCCTGACCCAAGTGCAGTCCAAGGCTCCAACTTACCCCATCCTTCTTATCTCGTTCTAGGGCCCCACGCAGGAATTCCAGGGACACATCCTCATTTTCATCCAGCCATTGCAGGACAAACTGTTCAAACCACCTGCAGCCAGGCAGGAAAATTGGGGGTTAGAGCCAGTGGTTGGCATATGTCATGTGCTTAACAGCTCCACCAGACTAGGGTCTTCTAGAAGATAGGGCACAGTTTGATGCTTTTCTCTTTCTACAACAGAGCCTAGAACTGGCAGTCTTAAGACTGGCTTGCTGAACTGAAATGAAGACATAGGTCCTGCCCACCCCCTAAGATGGAGGGACTCCTTCCCTTCCCCATGTAGTGCCCACATGATGACTCACACTGGGTACTCAGGCACCTGCCCCTGGAGGGCAGGCAGATCTCGCACATATTCATTGTGGAGCCACTTCACCTTGAAGTGTAGGTTCATGTAGTCAGCACTCTTACACAGCCGGTCTTTCTCATGCTCTAGTGGTGGGGAAGGAAGCTGAGTCAGGTCCCAGCAGCAGAGGCCATGGTTCCTGAGCTTTCCCAAAGCAGCAGATGTGGCCGGGCAGCTCTATGAGAAGTCTTAAAACAAGGGTGATTCCCAACCACTTCCTCACAACCATCACCCCCTACTAGTACTCTGCTCTCCAAGAGCCTGGCCCAAATCTTTTAGAGACTAAGCCAAACTCCCAGATAGAAGTCTTCTTGCTCTAGCTTCTAAAAGTGTCAACTGAGATACTGGCATCTGGTGAAGAAGAGGAGAAAGAGATGTGGGTGCTAATGTTGATTAGTGGAGAGGCTACCCAGGACTAGTGAGGGATGGTGGTTTCCTAGGACTTCTCTAATCCTAGTAGCTGGGCCATTCCCTCAGATCGGCTTAGATGAAGCGATGAGCAGCTACACACAGCATGAATGAGTCAATGACAACTACAGAGACAGGGAAAACCACAATGGGCTGACAGAAAGAGCAGTTAAGCAGCCAGAGTGTAATAGCATCTTAAGGTAAACTAAAGTGCCCCAGAATACGGTTGAGACACTGAGAAAATGAACTCTCCGAGAAGTATGCAAATAAGAATAGTCAGTTTGGAAACCACAGGAACATAGCAGATGAAAGGGCTATTATGCTGTAAAAAATGGGATGCTTGGGGCGCCTGGGTGGCTCAGTGGGTTAAGCCTCTGCCTTCAGCTCAGGTCATGATCCCAGGGTCCTGGGATCGAGCCCCGCATTGGGCTCTCTGCTCAGCAGGGAGCCCGCTTTCCCTTCTCTCTCTCTCTGCCTGCCTCTCTGCCTACTTGTGATCTCTGTCTGTCAAATAAATAAATAAAATCTTTTTTAAAAAATGGGATGCTTATTATGGACTTTTAAGGTCATCTAACTGGATCTTCAGAGCCTTCTGGAGAATCCAGGACAAACACCACCCCTGGACCAGAATGCCTGGCACACTGGCTACAACAACAGGTTCTCTTAATCCATCCCCTTTATAAATAAAAAATTAATTTGAAATAATAAAATCGAACAATGTGCTTACATATAACATAATGGAAAAAAAGCAGGCAAATGGGGGAAGAGTACTGAGTGACAGAGAAAGGAAGCTCAGGGTCCTTGTGACCTCTACTGCTCAACTTTGAGTTGCTATGGGTGATGCTCCTCCACAGCAAAGCAGAAATCCAATCTGGGGCAGTTGGCCCTTGTGAATTAGTACAACAGACCCTTGTGGAGGAAATGGGAGCTTGGGATTCAGCCGCAAAATGCTCCCAGTCCCAGGAAAGTTCATCTCCTGGCACGGCAGGCAGCACCACCTCTGGGGTCATCAGAGAGACTTCTCAGGGCTTGCCCCTTCTCTTCCACCCCACACTCTGCTATCCTTAAACCAGTGCATGAACCTAGAGACATAAAAATGTACCATGAGGAGGACTCTCTTTCCTTCCTGTTCAGTAACCCACTAGAAGTGGAGGCAGTACTGCTCCATCACTCCCCAAACTTCCTAACTGCTTTCTTCTAGGGATCTTCAAGTTACTGTATTTATATAATTCTCCCTTTCTCTGTCAATCCGTTATCTGTACTCTGATCCCCAAACTCAATTTCAATATTAATTTCTGTAGTACAGAAACTAACAGGATGACTGCTGAAACAGTGGTCACACTTTATTCTAACAAGTGCCATGGAGTCAAGCCCCGATAAAGTTGCATGAGGTTGTTGTTGATAAAAGTACAGGGATGGTTAGTCTCTCATAAAGGGCTACTGAGTCTCTAAATCTTCTCCTGCCCCTGACTTCCACATCCCTCCTTCCACGTATCTTTCATCTTTGGAGTTCTTTCAACCTCATGATTTCAATTATTCAGCTTGCTGCTATCTCCCCCAAATCTCTCTTTGGTTTTGGTACTGTCTGTCTAAGGCCCTACTGGCCATTTCACTTTGCCAGAGTTTAACTCTAGTCCCCATCTTTCACAATTTAACATCTCAGCTGAAGCTGAACCGAGTACACACACTAATTGTAGCCTCTTGTTCAATGATGAGCATCATCATCTTCCTTCTTCCTCTTTAGTCACGTATTTGTCAAATTCATCAAAATATAGAGTGTTTTTATTTTATGTATGTAAATTATACCTCAATAAAACTGACTTTAAAAAATTGGGTGAATGATACCATTTTCACAGTTGGAGTCAACACTATCCTTTTATCATCCAGGTCTCCAAACTCCTCCCCTTGTCTTAGCCTCCACATTCTGACATCATGAAGTCCTGTTACAACTTCCTTCCAGTGGCTATTGAAACTCATTATTCCCTCTCCAATTCACTACTCTAACCCCAACCCCTCAGCCCTAAATTACTACAACATCATCTCCAGTCCCTACTTCTAGTGTCTCCTTGTTCTAGCTGTCCTATTTTCCCCTAATGTGAACTCTTATAAAAATGCTGGGTGATATACTCAACTAATGGATCAATCATATCAAAAACTAATGATGTGCTGTACCTTGGCTAGTTGAATTTAAGTTAAAAAAATGCTGTTTTGTAGGGTGCTTGGGTGACTCAGCTGGTTAAATGTCTGACTCTTGGTTTTAGCTCAGCTCATGATCTTAGGGTTGTCAGATGGAGCCCTGCATCAGGTTCTGCACTGGGTGTGGATCCTGCTTAAGATTCTCTTTCTCCCTCTCCCTTTGCCCCTTCCCACGCACTCACAAGCTCTCACTCTTGCTCTCTTTCTCTCTCTTAAAAAAAAAAAAAAAAAAAAAGGCTACTTTGCTCGTACTGCATCTCTGCTCATGAGCCTATGGGGTTTCTCATTGTCTTTAATAAGATTTACTCAATGCCGAGTAAATGCCAAGCAGTATCCTAAGTGTGTTACACATTATTTCATCAGCTCAATGAAACAGATGCTATTATCACTCCCGTTTTACAGATAAGAAAATGTGAGCTCACAAAAATTGGTCTAAAAACACAATGCTGGGGCACCTGGGTGGCTCAGTGGGTTAAAACCTCTGCCTTCGGCTCAGGTCATGATCCCAGGGTCCTGGGATCAAGCCCCTCATCTGGCTCTCTGCTCAGCAGGGAGTCTGCTTCCTCCTCTCTCTCTCTGCCTGCCTCTCTGCCTACTTGTGATCTCTGTCTGTCAAATAAATAAATAAAAATCTTAAAAAAAAATTTTAAATAAATAAAAATAAAAACACAATGCTGATTAGGTTGTGAAAGTGAGATTTGAAACCAGGTTAACATTACTTCTCTCTCTTAAAGCAGCTTTTCTTTTTTTTTTCTTTTTTTTTTTTTTATTTATTTGACAGATCACAAGTAGGCAGAGAGGCAGGCAGAGAGAGAGAGGAGGAGGAGGCAGGCTCCCTGCTGAGCAGAGAGCCCGATGCGGGACTCGATCCCAGGACCCTGGGATCATGACCTGAGGCGAAGGCAGAGGCTTCAACCACTGAGCCACCCAGGCGCCCTTAAAGCAGCTTTTCAATCCTTTTGTGTTTGTTGTAAACATTAGCAGAACTCCCCTTTCAAGAGAAATCTCATCTAGAACCCCATATAAAATTGATAAACAGCAGAACTGACTTAACTGGCACCAGGTGAAAGTCCTGGAGCCCAGCAATCCTCTCCCCCTATCTGGCTATTCCCTTTTCACTTAGTTTCTGAGATACCTCTGTTTGAAAACCTCTGCCCCACCTCATACCATGCCTCTTGTGAAACTGATATACTTTTCACAGGTATTTGCCTCCCCCCCACCCCCACCAAAAACCCTCAGAGCTGGGATTCTTCAAGAACTTGGACCATACTCCCCCAAATTAGGCTTGCTGAGTGCTACTGGAGAGGGGACAAGTGACTTCCTAACTGGCCTGAAAGGGTAAGGCCTGGGCTACAGCCCCAAGCTTGACCCAGTGTGGGCAAGAGGCAGCCATTGCTCTGGGGCAGAATTACAGAATGTACATGTACAGTTTGTGGCTGTCTCCAACTTAAAACAGATCTTCAAGGTTTCTTTCAACCTCAGCTTCTAAACCTCAAAAGTTTAAGTCTGAGGGTTACCCATTTTCCCGGCCACTCCACCAAAATAACAGATCCAGACTCTGATTTGTCCTTACCCCAGGCTGCTCCCTTTCCTTGTAAGTCCACTTGCACAGACTGAGGAGGCAAACTAACATACAGAAACAACAGGAAAGGCAGCTAAATGAGTGAACACAGAAGGGTACAAATGGGAAGGTAGTATACAGGCAGACAGTGATATCTTTGTCAACCAAAGCAGGAAATGGATAAAAAAATAAGCTAAATAAACAAGATGAATAATAATTTGTCCATGACACTGCTTTATAGGAGAAGGGAGGGAAGAAATATCTTTCTGGCTCTGTCATACCAATCCAGAACAGCTTTTAAGGAAAGCCAGGCCAGGCAGTTTCTAATAAGAGAAAATAATCTTATCTATATATTTAAGGTTCTATGATTCTTTAAAACTGTAAAGATAAACTTCACAAGACCATTCATACTCTAGAAAGTGGGCCACTTGACAACACCCAGCATGGGATGAGTTGATCTTTTTGTGAGGAAAAGTCTTAAACAGGCACTTGGTCTAAAGCTGGAAGGGGAAATTCACATCCACACAGCCATTTCCATTATTACTTTGGCTGAACCTTTGCCTACCTAAGGACTCCTGACATGATTTAGAATCCCTCTAGTTTCTCACCATACCATTCACCCAGAACTTACAATTGTCTGGGAGAAGAAAGGGACAGCAAACAAGGTGCTTGGGCTAACGGCCTATAGCCCACTACCTTTGGCGTACCCTTACCCTCCAGTGCATATTTCATGTCTTGGGCAAAGAGCTGCCACATCACTTCCGCGCTGACTTTTCCCACATTCAACTCCTGAGGAAACCTGGATGATGGAAGAAGCCACAGTCAGAGAACAAAGCAAGAGCTATTTAATTTGACTGATTCCAAAACTTATGTGCCTAATCTCTTGGAAGTCAGATTGAAGAGAGGAGAAGCCTAGGAAATAGAACGGGGCTCAATCTGGAGAAAAGGGACCCAGGAGCCAGTGGAAGGACAAGTAGGGTAAAGGATTCCCTCAGGCAAGGTGGTCCAGAGAAGAGGATGCCCAGAAGGCAGGGACTTGAGGCCCAGAGAAGGGTTGGAGCTAGAAGGCAGGCCCAGGCTAAAGAAGGTGGATGAGAAAGTTCAAGGAGTGGGCCTAAGAAAGCCCATTATTCACAGTGGACAAACTCATACACACATGGTCTCTGGATCCCCTGGGACTCCTATGGCAGCCATTCCCAGGGGACTTTCACTCCAGGGAGGCTGGCTCAGTCTGGACAGGGCCCCCCATTATGTTTCCACACCTGTCTCCAGAAACAGTTACTCAGATAGATACAAGGGACAGAGGGACAGACGGACGTACAGGAAGAAGAGGTGGCACTGCAAACACACAGAGATAGGAAAGAAAGAGGCTGTTAGACAGATGGACATGCCAACCACCAACCACACAGGGCCAAGTGGGTTGATACGCACTGGTTCAGAACGAGTGTGTAGGAATTCTTATCTTCCTCTATGATTGACACAATGAGCGTGATGAGTTTGGGCCAAAAATCCAGGTTCCGAATGCTGGGTCCTTGTTCCTCTGGAGGTAGTTCCTGTTTCTTTTTCCAGAGGAGACAGTGAGAGTCAGAATAGAATACGGAGAATGTCTCCAATCTTCTTTCTCTTTCCGTCCCCATACCCTTTCCTTTAGAATCAGGTACCCTTCTTCTCCTAGAGCCTGTCTTCCACAAGACTGCCCATGTTCTGTCAGAGGGGTGACTGTTGGGAGGTCCTTATACACAAAGAGTCCATTCCAGAGAACTTCTCTCCCCACCTCCAAGGAACTAATATGATACACTTGGTCGGTCTAGGAGAGATAAGGATGCCTGACCCCCTTCCTCATTCTCTCAATAGCTATGAGTATAGTGACTCCTCAGGCAAAGTAAGTTGCCCCTCCAGCCTCACTAAATAGGTCTAGTTCCATGTGACCCCACTGGCAGTCTCCTCTGACACCTCCCCTAAATTATCACACACATACATATACATCTCAGCTCTGAGAAGCTCCTTCAAGTTCTGCAGGAGCTACTGCACAGACCTAGCATGCAAGTGGGTCCAACCTTCAGTGGGTTAAGGACTTCCCTTAACCTCATGAATGCTATTAGGAAGAAGAACTGTATCTAGGAAGCTATTTGCCTAGTTGTATAAGATAAGGTCTTGATGAGCCAAGAATACTCAATGCGGATATGAGATAAGATAGTCTCTTCAGTAAATGGTGTTGGGATAACTAGATACTCACATGCAAAAGAATGAGCCTGGACCCCTTTCTTATACTTCTCACAAAAACTAACTCAAAATAGATTAAGGGCTTAAATACAAGACTTGAAAACATAAAACTCCCAGAAGAGAACATAGGGAAAAAGTTCCTTGACAATGGTCTTGGCAATGATTTTTTGGATATGATACCAAAGTACACACACCAAAAGCAAAAACCAACAAGTGGAACTACATCAAACTAAAAAGTTTCTGTAGAGCAAAAGAAACAATCAACAAAATGAAAAGGCAACCTACAAAATGGGAGGAAACATCTGCTAACCTTATATCTGGTAAGGGATTAATATCCAAAATATAAGTAATTTGCATAACTTAATAGCAAGCGAAAAAATCTGATTAAAAAATAGGTAGAAGACTTGAATAGACCTTTCTCCAAAGAAGACATACAAATGTCCAGCAGCAAGAGGTGCCTGGGTGGCTCATTCGGCTAAATCTGAGCTCCACTCAGGTCATGATCTCAGGGTCCTGTGATCAAACCCTGAATGGGGCTCCCTGCTCAAATAAATAAACAACAAAGAATGCCCAGCAAGTACATGAAGAAGTATTTAATATCACTAAACATCAGGAAAATGCAAATAAAAACCACAAAGAGATGTCATCTCACATCTGTTAGAATAAATATTTTCAGAAAGGTAAGAGATAACAAATACTGGCCAGGATATAGAGAAAAGGGAATCCTGACACACTGCTTGCAGGAAATGTAAATTGGTAGAGCACTATGGAAAATAGTATGGAGGTTCCGCAAAAAATTAAAAAGAAAACTATCATATAATCCAGCCATCCTACTTCCAGGTATATATTCAAAGAGAATGAAATAACTATCTCTAAAATTTACTGATACCGCCACACTTATTGTAGCATTATGCATAAAAGCCAAGACATGGAAACAACCTAAGTGTACACCAGTGAATGAATGGATAAAGAAAATGTGGTATATAAATATAATGAATTATTACTCAGCAATGAAAAAGGAGGAAAGCCTTCTTTTTGCGGTAACATGATGGACATTGAGGGCAGTATGCTAAATTAAATAAGTCAGACAGAAAGAGACAAATACAGTATGATCTTCCTTATACATAAAATCTAAAAACACCAAACACATAAAAAGAGTGGAGTGGTGTTTGGCAGGAGATAGGGACAGGGGAAATGGTGAGATGCTGGTCAAGAGGTACAAACTTTCAGTTCAGATGAATAAGTTCTGGGGATCTAAGGTACAGCATGGTTGACTATAGCTAAAATACTATATTATATACTGGAAAGATCAATATGAGAGCAGAGCTTTAATGTTCTCACCGTAACAACAAAAAATGATAATTATGTGAGGTGCAGGCTTTACTGTGGTAAACATCTCAGAGCATGCACTTGTATCAAATCATCACATTGCACACCTTAAGCTTACACAATGTTATACATCAATTATATCCTAGTAAAGCTGGGGGAAGAAAAAAGACTTGGTTGGGAAGAGTAAAGGAATACAGTGTGAATCTCAGAAAAAGAGAAGCAACTCTACATTCAGACCCTGGACAGGACAAGGAGGGGTCACTGCTGGAATGGACATTTGTTTCCCACTGGGACAAAAGCGAAGTTGGAACCACACAGAAGAAGAGGGATAGGACTTTTATGTGGGATGCCATATGTCATCACAGTCTCTACAGTCCTTAATAAGCCTGTATTACATGGAAGTTACTAGAAACCAGGACAGAACCCAGAGAATGTAGATTCTGCCTGCTTAATATCACTTAAATACATCTTTTCCTTTAACTTTTTCTGCCACTACCCTATCCTTATCATTCAAGGGTTTCCTAACTGGTTTTTAATCTTCATTCCAGTCCCCTTCCACATAGTTGTTAGTGATCTTTCTGCAAAGAGAATCTCATAGTGTGACTCCTCTGCCCTTCAATGGTCTTCAGTTAAGGCCTACGGTAAACTTCAATTCTACTGCTTGACACAAAAGGCCTTCAGTATATGATCTGTCAACCCCACACCTTACCAATTCCCTTTCCTCACAGCCATCACTGCCCCCCCCACCACTTATTTAGTGCTTATTAGGTGCCAGGCACCCTAAGGACTTTACGTGGGTTATCTCATTTAATCCTCCTAACTGCTCCATTGGGTGGAAATTACCATCACCTTAATTTTACAGAAGAGGAGACTGAAGGCAGTGAGGTTACACGACTTGCCCAAAGTCTTATAGCTATAAACAGTAGAACCAAGAACTGATCCCAGATAGCTGAACTCCAAAGCCTGACATGTAACTACCCTAATTATATTGTTTATATTTCTTCAAATAACATACTCATTCAAAATTCTGTGCCTCCAAACATTCTACTATCTCTATATGGCATCCCTCTCTTCCCCAACCCCTTTCATTAGCCAACTCCTACTCATTCCTCAAAATTCCAGTTGAGCTTTACTTTTTTTTTTTTTTAAAGATTTTATTTATTTATTTGACAGAGAGAGATCACAGTAGGCAGAGAGGCAGGCAGAGAGAGAGGAAGGGAAGCAGGCTTCCCGCTGAGCAGAGAGCCCGACGCGGGGCTCAATCCCAGGACCCTGGGATCATGACCCGAGCCAAAGGCAGAGGCTTTAACCCACTGAGCCACCCAGGCGCCCCGAGCTTTACTTTTTTTGAGTATTCCCTGATACCCCTGGTCTGCTTAGATGCCTCCCCTGTTAAGTTCCCAGAACACGCTCTATGAACCTTTGGCAACTACAATAAAATGCAGTAACAATAAATAATAAAAAAGACAATAAAGTAAACAAAAAAAACACAATAAATCTAGTAATTTGTCCCACCTACCTCCACTAAATGATGAGCTCACCAAAAAGAGAGATGTGTCTTGATCAACTTCACATCCCTACATGTTCAGTTTGTTAAGGGATTAAATGGATGAATGAACCAATGACTGAGTGATTGAAAGAAATAAAAAGAGAACAATGGTTTACCTCACTGTAAATAATGAATAATGAGAAAATGAGAGTGAAAAAAGTAAAAAACTGTTGGCAAAATTCAAAAGTTAAAAAAAGTGCCTGAATGGTTTATAAGCCCTCTTTCAAAGTCCAGGCTCATCTCATGCTAGGGAGCAGAGACTAAATATTCAGAAAGACCCCTGCATAGTTGAAAAATCAAAGCAGAGAACAGTGTCTTCTCCAACCAAAGAGAATCTACAGATAGATGACAGAGGAGCCCAGAGTGTGGTAAGTTAAACAAAGACCCCAGGAAAACCTCCCATGAGCTTCAGAACCAAGGAGAGGTTTTATAAAACTTAAAAGGAGGAAGCCTTAAAGATAGGGCTGGCACAAAGAGTATGTTTGGGAATGGGAAGAGGCAGTGTGAACAAGATTTTAGTCTCTACTGAGGTACTCCTAGGAAGCATTAAAAATTAAATGTATTCGTCAAAGGGCAAATGTTCAAGAGATTTAAGTTGTCCTCTCATTATTTGCAGTCCAAATCCTACTATCTTTTAAGGTTTACGTAAAATGCCCTTGTTTTAGTAGCTTTTCCCAATACCTGATCAAGAGTGACTTCTTCCTTCTTGGAATCCCTTCAATTTTATTCAGCTTTCAAGGCACGTCTCACAGACTGCTTTGATTAGAATTATATATATGCTTACAAACTGTGAACTAACTGAAGGAGCTCTATGCTTTCCTCATACCTGACTCATTCAATACATATTTGTTGGACTAAAGGGCATATATTTTGCAAGTGCATGGCCTGCAAGAATTATTTCAACAGAAACTGTAATCTAGTAACAAGACCCAAAAAGAAGTCCTGGCTTTGAAATGAGAATAAAAGATACTACTGAAAGGATCTTGAGAAACAAACACAGTTACCAGGTAGTAAGTTGGGTTCCAGCATAGAACAGATGATGTAGCTCAGCCTTAAAGACAGAGAAGAGACAGCCTTGACAGTCAGCTGATGAATATATCTCAGAAGACCATGTAGTGCAGAGAGAAGCATCAGAGGGAAAATTTAAATTTCCACAAGCCGGTAGTTCAGAGAGACAACTACAGATCTCAGAGGAAAGCAGCCTATAACAAATTAAGCTTGGGAGAGAAAAAAGACTCTAGGATGGATCGAGAGTTCACCTACTCACCCTCTAAAACTGCCCAAGTTTTGGTCACTTACTTTAGCACCAAACTAAAACTTACTGTTGCCACTTCTGCTCAACTCAGTTATGTCACATCTCATCCAATGGTCCCTATTAACCCACAAATGTCTCACATGGTTTAGAAGGTCCTCACTCTACACTTTACTCATCCTCAAGAACAACAAGGACTTTGGCCTGAGCTCCTTTCCACCATAATCACAGTAAAGGAAAACTGAGGATCCAAGAGCCACTGACAGTGGATCCCACCTGATCCTGAACCACTTACCAGCTGGTACTGGCAACTGTACAAGTCATGGCAGTTGTTGAAGATATACTCATATGTGGAGTTCAAACAGGCCTTCACACAGTCCTTTACCACTTGGCTGGCTCTTGGAGGGCTCTGAAGTTCTTGCACCTGCCAATTAATAAAAGAAATACGGGCCCATGGTCCTCCCCACCTGAGTTGATCTCCTCCTCGAATTCCCCTCAAACTACTCCATTGCATCATCTCTCGATGGGTCCCTGGACCGTACCCTAGGATGAAATTGCTAGGATATCTGATTAGGAGAACCACGCAGCCCATCCCTATTCATCTACAGTCTTCTCAGAGGTAACCCAGAGAACAGGTGTATGGAAACGTGGGCTTAGAGGTGATGAATACTATAGTTTAAGATTGTACCCAATGATTCTTATTCTTCATGTTCCTGAGGCCAGGTGCCCTGTCTATCACCATCTAGCCCAGTTTCTCTCTTACCTTCATTCTGAAGAAAGTAATGCTGGTCAGCAAATCCACTGTTGACTTTAAGTCCTGAAGCCGCTCAGGGCTTCCAGCAGGGAAATTATTCTGTTGCAAATTAAGCAAATTTAAGAAAGGAAAAGAGAAATATGAAAGCCTTCCCTGCCAAAAGCAATGAAATAAAAAGCTTCCTTAACTGCTACCCACTGGGATTTTCCCCAGGTGAGCTGAACTAAAAAGCTGTTAAACTAAGGTCTCCCTCTTTTTTCTATTGACACAGACAGGCCCTTGCCAAACACAGGGGTTAATAATCCCCAGCCCAGCAAGCAACACATCCTATGCCAACCCTACTTCCCATGCAATGTGTGAGCATTTGTACAAAAGGACACACAGACACACAGACACATATATTTTATACACACGTTTTTCTTGGGTGAAGATTCTTACACTTAAACAGTGAGTTCTTCGAAAGTTACAATGTAACTATATATTCTGGAATATAAATGGGGCCACGCTACGGACCAGACTAAGATCAAGGGTATATACTTTCTGTACAAGGGACCCCAGCTATTCCACTTTCCTTCCAGAGCCAGAAGATGGCACAGCTCTGAGCAGAACTGTTTTGGAGTGAGTTCTTTAAGACCTTCCCACCATGCCTCACTTCATTCCCCTTGGCATGGGTTTTAGGAGAAAGCTGCCAAGGAGAGCTGAACGGAGATGTTGAGCCACTCTCCATTTTAAGGGTTGCTTTTTTAAACACTCAAATGGCTACTTATATGCCAAATATAAGATACATAGTCAACTCTCCATTATTCATGCAAATGGAGGGCACTGAAATTGCAGATAATTAAAACTCCACTTCTTTTTGACTTTGAGGTTATTTTTATACTTACTTTTTAATGTGGGTATATTGCCTGTTCTGGAAATTCACAACCGTTTAAAGCAAGTAACAAGCCATTCTAAGAAGATCTAACTTAGGAAGAATTGGGAAACTGCCCATTTTCGTGTCCTTCCCTGTCCCTGGTATCCACCCTCCTAATATATCTATTTTCTCCTTCCATTCTAGGAATGGACATGACCCCCGCTACAAATCACTTGTTGAAGCCAAGCTATCTTTTCTCTCCCTTTAGCCAGATTCTCATACCTCCCTTGAAAAATAAGGAGAATATGAAAAATACAAAAAAGAAATATAGGTATCTAATTTTTTTTTAAAGATTTTATTTATTTATTTTGAAACAGAGAGAGAGAGATCACAAGTATGCAGAGAGGCAGGCATAGAGAGAGAGAGGAGAAAGCAGGCTCCCCGCTGAGCAGAGAGCCCGATGCGGGCCTCGATCCCAGGACCCTGAAATCATGACCTGAGCCGAAGGCAGAGGCTTTAACCCACTGAGCCACCCAGGCGCCCTAGGTATCTAATTTTTAAAGGGGCATTTCTGGAAGAGATATCCACCCTAATGAGAATGTCATCAGAGAGTCTGACAGAGTGACATCAGTATGGTTGGAGAGCTAACTGCCTGTAAAAAAAATGCCACACCTGCTATTTACAACAGCATGGTCTTTGGAGTTTGGAGAATCACAGATGTCAGTGGCACTGGCCCTGTATGTAGGTGTGATGACAGGGACCAATTTTCCTTGCCTTTAATCTTTAGAGCCAAGATTGGACTATGGTTTCTTTAGACAGAGCTTGATATTATCTGTTATTCCATCTCACAGTCCTGTCTTCACTCACCCTGTAGGTAGAGAGGTCAATCCTCAGTGAGTTGTGCAACTGGTCCAGTAGTTTTACAAATCTCTCTTTCTGAAGGTAGGAAACAAATAACAGGGAAGAGAGAAATAATCTGAGTTCCCTAGACTGTAGCAGAAACAGAACCATCTCTGGGTGAGGAGGAGACATTGGTTTAGGGACACATCCTATCTCATCCCTGCTCATGAGAAGAAAGAACAATGTAACAGAGAACTGGGATAGGTGGCCCCTGTTCCATCTCTTAGCGGCTCTGTCTCAAACTGGGGAATCTTTTCACACCGGCAAGGGGACAGGAAGTCCCCAGGAGAGAAACTGCTCTTTCTATATAAGAGTCAACGGGAGATGACTCATGCATCTCCATTCCTTTGGGACTCTAACTTCTCTTAGTCAAATAAGAGGAAACTCAAAACACATTCTCCAACTTCTTCCTGAGTCTGTGGTCTCCTGACTTACCTTCAGGCAGCTCTTAACAGTTAAATAGCCACTGTCTACCAGTAATGATAAGAGGGAGAAACAGTGATTCATTTGGAAGGTGATCAAGCAGACCTGAGAGCGTTTCTCTTTCAACCATGTTCCACATCATTTTCCTTAGTTTATACTTTTTTAATGTTAAGATAAATAACATGACACTATTTTTATTTTATTATTTTTCACTTAACATATAATGTATTACTTGTTTTAGGGGTACAGGTCCGTGATTCATCAGTCTTACATAACACCCACACTCACCACACTATTTTGATAGTTGATTTTTATAGAAAAGGTATAATTAAATGTGGGGAATCACATGCCTATAGGCTGTTGGTATAGCACTCCTGGAATTCATATACTGATTATATGACAGATCATTAGGTCTTACGTAAATATATAAAATGGGATGAGATAATGAAACACATATTTGAGTGGCTTAATCAATGATGTTAATTCATCTACATAAAGACTCTATCAAAATAAGGGAAGGTGGTTACTCCCAAAAAACAGGGCTCAGAGACCCAATAGATTTGGGAGTATCAGCAGTGTTATTCCTAAAGAGGTAATCTTTGTGGCTGGTCAAAGATATTTCATCTGGTTTACACTGAACTTATGTCAGGTGACATTCTGAACAAAGATTCAACTTCTCAAGTAACTTAAAACCAGGAAAGGGCATATCCTGGATAGGATAAACAGTCCAAACACTAGAAAAGGGATAGGCTCAGGAATATACTGGTATCTTCACTTAGACATCAGTCCCATATGAGCATGAGTGGGTAAGAGTCAGAGAGAAACAATATAAGGTTAAGGAAAGTCTACTTGTGTACTTGCAGAACTAAGGAACATGATGACTCAACCAAGTTCTTGGCCTAGAGAGGTTCTGCCTGAGCCGAGGTGGTACCTCTGAAACCATAGTGATGCTATTCCACTTTTTCTCATTTATCTATGTCTAAGGAGAGTCCATTAGTAAGTCTATCTATCCATAATGAAATAAGGAAGAGTCTACTAGCATGGTCTACACATCCATAAGGAAACAAGTACATCTATCTACGTGGCAGCTCTCTGAATTTTAGGCATATAAAATAACTCTATAGTACCTACTGGGAAAAATCAAATTTTATTAACTGATAACAAATGAGTAGGTATGTTTTTACATCACACTCACCCCAAAGTTGGAGGCTGCAAAGCGATCAGATGCAGAAACATTGGTGGAGGCAGTTGTGTGGGCATAATAAGCATTGATGTTGGCCAGTAAGGTGCTCATCACTGCAGGCACACCAGGACACATGTACTTGGATGACAAACATGCAAAGTGCCTGAAAAATAGCATCCTCAGCCTCAAAGACTCTTCAGAGCTTGCAGCAAAAACCAAGTAATTAAAAGAGCTCATTGGTGTATATGAAGCTTCCAATAACCTTGGCATACAAGTATCTTCATAATTGATTCACTCAAATATACATTAATGAATGCCTACCATGTGCCAGGGCCTGTGCTATGTGCTAGAATCCAAAGATGTGATAGTCTGGCAGAGAAAGCAAGTGTTAGAAAGTCAATAAGCCAAGGCATGCTAGGCAAAACCTAGAAGTAGAAACACACAAGATCACCTCAACCAGAATGGTTGGGGGCTGGAAGGGATTAGAATAAGGCTTCTCAAAGAAGAGTTGATTGAACAAAGACTTAAAGGATTAGTAGGAATTAGTCAAATGGAGAAGTGTGCAGGCAAAGGAAAACTGCATTGCAAAAAACAAATATATATCAGAGAGACTGATTCATTTGGGAAACCTCAGTTATGGCCACTGTTCAGGTATTTGATAGAGGAATACCAAGAAATGAGAGACGAGAAGTAAGCATAAAATAGTTAACAGAACTATTTCATAGACAGATATAGATAAATATATTTTATATTTTACAGATAAACAGGAGAGTTTATCCTCCATATGGTAAATTTTTTTTAAAAGATTTTATTTATTTGATAGAGAGAGGGAGATCACAAGTATGCAGAGAGGCAGGCAGAGAGAGAGGGGGAAGCAGGGTCTTTGCTGAGCAGAGAGCCCGATGTGGGGCTCGATCCCAGGACCCTGAGATCATGACCTGAGCCGAAGGCGGAGGCTTAACCCATTGAGCCACCCAGGCGCTCCACCATGGTAAATTTTAACATGAAGGCACAATGTGATCAGACTCGTTTTTCAGAAAGCTCCCTTTGATGATAAATTGGAAAAGAAGGCTTGGAGAGAGACGAGACAAGGACAGAAAGAGCAGTTGCAGAGTTAATGATAATCATTCAAAAAAGAAGCAATGAAGCACTAAATGGAACAGAGAAATGGTTAAGAATACTGATTCTACAGCAAGGTTGTGTTTGAATCTCAGCTCCACTATTTACTCAGTGACTTTGGATAAATTTCTTAAGCTTCTCTATGCCTGTTTTCTTACCTGTAAAATGAGAAAGATAAGGATACCCCCTCACACGGTTAATATGAGAATTAAATGAGTTAAAATTCATAAAGTGCTTAGATCAGTGCCTGGGATATAAGGAAATGCACAAGGGAGTTGTTATTGTTATCATTATTATTGTGCTATAGTAAAAGTGATGGGTTAAAAACATTTTAAGGAGATACGAATCCAGGTTTCAGAGTTTGGATGTTGGGAGTTAAAGGGGCAGTAGTAATTATGAAAGAAAAGTTTAGGCTGACTCCTAAATTTGTGTGAACACATGCCTAGAAAATTATTCCACTTACTAAAATAGGAAATATAGGAAGATATCATATATTTGGTGGAGATGATATTGATTTGGAATTTAGCCATACTGAGGAAGCAGCTGACAATGGATCTGAAATTCAGAAAAAGTTGTGATCTGGAAAAAGAAATTGGGAGTCCCTAGACCATAAGTAGTGGTTAAGGTCATAGGTTTGGATGAGATCATAGAGGAAGAATGAACAGAGTAAGAATTGTAGGGAGGCATTCTCAAAGCTCATTCCTCACCATATTTCTTCACTCCATCTATAACGAACTTCTTGTAATTCCTTGAACAGTCTATGGTCGACTGCATCTCAACACTCTAGCACATGCCTTACTGGAAATGCTCCTCTACCTTTCCTGTATTTCAAGACTCAGTTCAAGTGTCAAGTCTTTAATGGCTTCCCTCACATGCCTCCCCTAAAATTTTGATGCTCTCATAATACCCTGTTATTACTTCTACCATATTATATTGTAATTGTTTGTTTAATGGTCTCTCTTTCCTACTAGACTCAATTCCCCAAGCATAGAGGACCCATCTTATTCATCTTTGTGTTCTCAGCACCTAGCACAACATGTGACACCTAAAAGTTTTTAGAATAAATGTTTTAAAATAAAAGTTTTTAGAATAAATGAAGCACATCCAGGGCAATAGTTACCCTCTGTTTACCTGGGGCTGCTTCCTGAGCACAGGTCTAGTGGCAGTCTCGCCAATATACAAACAAAACCTCTTCTCATAGTAGGCAAAAATTTCCAGCATAGGAGTCTTGGTCAACTCCAGACACAGTGGCTTTCCCTATAGTTTAATGACTTCTCTGATATCCAGGCCAATCTATGAAAGCTTGTTCATCACACACATATACATAAGAACACATGTGGTATCCCCTCAGGCCTGTGATGATTGGGCAAGTTTGTCCAGGCATATCCTCTTATGTCCTTTGCCCTTCTTATCTCTGAACTGTCGGGGAGACAGATAAATACCTTCTCCCTGAATTCCTGATAAACATACTCCCTTTTTACATATATTTTCTTTGCCTTGGGGGCAAAGACCCACCTCACCTCAGCTCAGGAAGGAGGTCAACAAATCACTGCATACTACCCCACTAAGGACCTGTTCACCCTCTCTGTGTGCCTTCATTAGCCTCCCCGAGAGTTAGCAGCCACTTCCCAAAGCCCCAGGAGAGCCTCACGTCATGGCCTGATATATGGACTCGATGCCATAGCGCATGGCAAATTCATCCACAATTTCTTGGGCAGTCTCATCAAAGTACACCTTCCATGCATCGTCTCCTCGAGCCTCAGGGATCAGGACTCCTCCATTACCCTGAATGTCTGTGAGGTAATGGAAAAGGTTCTGCAGGAGACAGAGCAAAGGAAAGAGTTAAATACGTATTAAAAACAAAACCAAAAACTGGTGGTAAAGTCCAGGAGAATGTGAATACTGTTCCAAAGAAATTCTGTCTTTCAAGTCATAACTAATTTCTCATGTGGCCCCAGTAGGCTGCTCTTACATTAGTGAAAGAAAACTAAGGCTGGGACTATTACTTGGGCCATCTGGGGTAGCACAGTGAATAAAAAAGAGGGCTCAGATCTTCAACCACCCAGCAATCCCATTTACTGTCAAGGGCCCTTCCCAGCACAGCTTTCTGATACCCCACCTACAAAGGACTGGCTCACCTCATGGAGACACGTATACTGCACATGATATGGTGCTACCTTCTCCTCCCCCTTGATCTCCACACTGATTTGTAGTCGGATAGCCCCTGAGACAGCTGATTTATCTGTCCTCTTCTCTAGGAATAAAAGAAGATGGAGATTGACACCAATGCAACTACAGAGAACACAGACATCCCCCATCCCAGCTTAACCCAAGGAAAAAGAGGACTGATCCAACCAAAGGTTCACCTAATAGGGTGAACTTACTCCAGCAACCACATTGTCTACAAATACCCCAAATATTCCCCCATAGAAATTCTCTTATGCCATTAAGAGAACCAGGAGCTAAAGCCATTAGAGGTGAGCATGAGGATTAAAGGGCCTTCTGGAATCTGAAGAATGTCCAGCCAGAGTGAGTTCCAGCCACTTCCACACTTCTGTCCCCCATCTCTACTCATGATCAGTTCTCTACAGGTAAGGCAGACTCTGTATAGAGGAATGCTTTAGGGGCTAAATGATGGTTTTAGTAGATAGGCTTTTCCCTAGATTTTTCACTCATGCTGTCCCTTCTCAGCAACTTTCTCTGGTCTTATTTCCTTACCCAAGTTGTACCAGACATCCATCTCGCCACTCAGTGTCCGAACCTCTATAATGGTTTGGCCAAGGAAATCATCGGATTCTCGCTTCAGTCGCTGCTTTACTCTTGACTTGATGTCATCATCCTCATCCCATACACGTACCTTAATGCGGTCAGAAGAGTTGTGGCACTCGCTGTGAGAGAAATAGGCAAAACCGGTTAGGGACCAACCAAGCAGCACCCATTCCTAGTACTTCCAATTTCCTCCCAAAGCTCCATCAACTGTACTTGAGGCCCTGCAAAGGAAGAAAAGGAGTCAGGGAACAGTGGTACTAAAGTTCCAAGTGAGTCAAACTATCCTAGTCAGCCTGGAAGGCTCTACATACTATTATCCAGTCCTTATTCCCTTGACACAAAGAAGGGGGAGAGGGGAAGAATTATTAGGGACAATTCTGATTTCCTGTGCAGCTAGCTGTTATCAACAACATCAACAGGTGGACAAATGTCACAGATCCCTAGGAAGCAACTGCTACTTCCCTTCCCAGAGTCAGTAAAGGTGCTAATGTTCATGATAGGTCCATCTGGTCATATCTGCTTAGCTTTCCATCCAGTTACCCTATCTATCTAAGTATGTGCTTGCTGAACTTCAATTACAGTTGAATTGTCATTTTTCTCTATGATGTTTCCTTTGGAAAAGGTAGTTTGGCCAGGTACCCTCCCATGTTCTCCTTCCCTCAGAGGGGCTTACTGGGTCCTACTGCCTCATACTTGTACTTGATAGAATTTGCTGCTTTTTTCCCTCTGTATTCTCATAATATCTTTGCACATTTCATTAAAATACTATAGTATAACCACTGGTCTACTGAAAAATAGACAAATCAACAAAGAGCTTCTCGGAGGCAGGAAATGTCTTACATATTTCATTTTTTAAGATTTTATTTATTTATTAGAAAGACAGAGAGAACAAGCAGGAGAAGGGATAGGCAGAGAGGGAGAAGCAGACTCCCCGCTGAGCAGGGAGCCAGAAATGGGGCTCAATCCCAAGACCCTGGAATCATGACCTGACCTGAAGGCTGATGCTTAACCCATGAGCCACCCAGGTGCCCCATGTCTTATACATTTTAGACACACAATATCATCTACAGTGTTGTGTATAGAATAGGGGCTTAAGAATGTATTTGCTAATATGATCTCCCTGATATGAGGAAGTTGAGAGGCAAAGTGGGGGGTTTGGGGGTTAGGAAAAGAATAAATGAAACAAGATGGGATCGGGAGGGAGACAAACCCTAAGAGACTCTTTTTTTTAAAAATTTAATTTTATTTATTTATTTGACAGAGAGAGAGATCACAAGTAGGCAGAGAGGCAGGCAGAGAGAGAGAGGGGGAAGCAGGCTCCTTGCTGAGCAGAGAGCCCGACACAGGGCTCGATCCCAGGACCCTGGGATCATGACCTGAGCCGAAGGCAGATTAACCCACTGAGCCACCCAGGTGCCCCCCTAAGAGACTCTTAATCTCACAAAACAAATTGGGGGTTGCTGCGGGGAGGGGAAGAGGGAGAGGGTGGTGGGGTTATGGACATTGGGGAAGGTATGTGCTATGGTGAGTACTGTGAAGTGTGCAAACCTGGCGATTCACATACCTGTACCCCTGGGGCTAATAATACATTATATGCTAATAAAAAAAATTTTTTTAAAGAATGTGTTTATTAAATGGATAAAAGCAGCAAAATGACTATACAGTCAGTTTATTTAGAATTTATTTAGAATAAACAGAATTCAAGCAGGAACCACTCAGATTCTCAAAGAAATAGGTGCTCCCCCCAGTAACTATTACCTCTGGACTGGAAGCCAATTGTACTAGGCCCCAATCCCTCACATGAGTTCTCTCAGGAGCCAACAGAAGAAGGTCTCTACATAACCAGCCTGCTTAGCTAATTCAGACTCTTAAGTCCTGGTCCTTGGCCATAGGGGTGTGACAAAGCATCCAGATTCTCCAAACATTATTCCATGTCCTAGATTAGAGCTTGCAATTTTTCAACAACCATCCCTTACTATCTTCAGAAATAGTCTATAAGAAAGTGACAATGGGAAAAGGAATAGGGGTAGGAGCTGAGGCAGGAAAAAAGCAGGGCCTTTTAAGGGAATGGAAACTTCTCCCGACTCCAGATTTCCATCTTCAAGCCAGAATTACCCAGTTGTAGGGCACAGGCATTCCTTCCTAACTCTCCAGAAGAGTCTAATCCTTCCTTGGCAGGATGGGAAGGCTGAGAGGTACGCAATAGGGTGGTCAGTCCCTGGTTTTGTCACTGAGCAGCAGGAAAATCTTTCTAACTCTAGAAAAAGCAGTATGGAGTGCCCAGGGTCCCCTTTAATAGCCCTAGTTAAGACAGGGCCTGGATAAGGTAACCCTGATATAACAGTCCATGAAAGAACCCCAGGAAATAAATGGCTGTTGCCCAACTGAAGCCTGTGAGAAATGAGTTTTCCCCAGTGCCTCTGCCCCATCCTCTTAGGGTCCACCCAAGAATAATAGTATTTAATGCTGCTTCTAAAGCACATACAGTCCCAGGTAAGACAAAGCCCCCTGTGACTTACAAATGGAACTTCTCTTCCCAAACAGGATTCAGGTTCCCAAAAATAGTCTTGGTACGCTTCTTGGTTTTGCCCACTTGCACAGTCACGTAAGGGTCACTGGATCCTGTCTTGTCCTTGGCTTGTAGGCCCTGGGCACACACCACTGCAACCCAATTACAGAGGAGGAGGCTTTAGAGTATGCTCCAGAAATCCAAAGTCTTCCATAGCACCACTCCTATGTTCTCCATCTTAGAGCAATCTCTATCTTCTCCTTGCAAGGGAACGCTAATCTCAATCTTCCCCATCTATGCTTAGTCCTGGGCCACCAGTCTTCCTCTCAAAGGTTGGCCCAAGAATCCCACCTGCTCACCAGAGCCCTAACTCACCACTTACCCCTATATTGATATATACATGGTTCAGCCATACCCATCTAACTAGTAAAACACAAGTTTAACTATTCCCTGATCTCCTACTTATCCTATTTCCCCAAACCCTACCTCTTACAATATGAGACTGTTAACTAAGTATATAACATCAGATTGTTATCAAATCCTTCATTATCATTCCTGTCACTTGTAGGTGGTGCTGGACTTGCTCTCCCAGTACCTGATAGCACCATGGTCTAGAAGAGGAAGGCCCTCCCTTCTCCCTCAATTCTATCCTCTTTCTCTCTAGCCCACTGCTCCCTCAAATTCAGGATGCTTCTTCATCCAGGTTTCTCCCCACAGCCTAGGCCTTCCTGTCCTCTCAAACTTTTGCCTACTCACCAGTGATGGTAATTTTGGCCGACCATTTGGAGGTGCCATCCAGTACACTCTGCTTCACTGTTTTCATCTGTTGCACATGGGCAACTTTGCTCACAGTAAAGACATCTCGGATAACCTCAAAGATCTCTGGCTTATTCCGCTCTCGGATCTTCATGCGGTCCTTCATGGCCATGATTATATTCTGGGTCCGGTCCTCAGCTCCATGTTTAGAACTCTTTTCTGCAGCCCCTGAAGAATGGCCAGAGACAGAAAGTAAGGTAACCATAGGTCACCCACCAGACTAAGGGTAAAGCTGAGGAATGGAGCCTGGGAGAGATCACTGAGAAGTGGAAGAAACTTAAGACTGGGATGGCTCTAAGAAAAGCTAATCAATATGGGACCTGCTGAAGTTTAATGCCTGGCTAGTGGAATTTAAGCACCAAAAACTTGATAATTATTATGGGGATTTATTATACTATTCCAATTAGATATATGTTGAATTTTTCATCAAAAAAAGAAAGAAACAAAAAAGTGTAACTTAGCCTGAAGTTGGCCTTGTCTTTCTTCTACCCCACATGGTGGTTGAGATGTACCTTTCAAGTTGAAGGCCAAAATACCACCAATGGGTATCTCAGTTATCAGGGAAGGTGGGTGGGTGCACATGACAACTCCACCAATCTCATCCAACTTCCAAGCCATGATACAGATCTCAGAGTTCTTCACCGCACACACTGGATTCTGCCTCAGGACTCTAACGCCTTTAATCTCAGAAAATACTGTAGTATGGTAAGAAGAGTATGGCCTTTGGAATGAGACAAAGTTGGGTTCAAACCCTCACTCCACCACTCCTGTAAGGACCTATTTAGCCAGAGTGACTCCATCTTGGTTAAAAGCCATTTTGTCGTTTGTGCAGTAAAACTTAAACTGACCCTGCCCCCCTCCCCTCAGAGAAACTTTTACTGGGAAACCAGTAAAAACTTTTACTACCCCCCTCCCCTCAAAGAAACTTTTACTGCGAAACCAGTAAAATATGGTCAGCTAGTTCCTAATAACAGAGCCCAGAATATAAGGCCAGGTCGGCCAGTTCGTGATAACAGAGCCTAGAATACAAGGATGAGTCGGGCCAGGTGGAGACATCCAATCAGTAAGAAACACACATACTTTTCCCCTAACCACCAAAGAATGTAAACCCTGCTGTTTGGGTGCCAACCTTGAGCACCAATTCTGACCAGAGTAATAGGTTAGGTCAAACAGCTATTATAGGGTAAATTGTAATTCAATTGGCCACCTGTGTGTGACCTAACATGACTATAATCTCATTGGCCACCTATGTGTGGCCAGACTTTTGCTCTATAAAAGGTAGTCTGTAAGATGGGGAGGTGTCGCTCTCTTCAGAGGCGGCCCTGACCGGTAGGTCAATTCCTGAGCCTGTAAGCTGGGGGTGGTCGCTCTCTTTGGAGACGGTCCTGGCCGGTCAGTCTAACTTCTAATGCTTGGCATAGAATAGACCTTTGCATAACTTTAACTTGTTTCAGTCTCATTCCCCATGGCCGATCAGCCTGACTTCTAATACTTGTCATAAAATAAAGCTTTAAATAACTTTCACTTTGTCTCAGTCTCGTTTCGTTTAATAACGGAGCTAACAACTCCTAGCTGGGTAAACCAGTTTCTTCTAAGAAAATGGCACTTAACTCTGGGGATTGTAAGAAGCTTTATGTTGGCATATATAAAGCATCTGGCCCAGGGCCTGACACCCAGCAGGAACTCAAATAAATGGTCACTTTTATTATTATCAGCATCACTACTATCCCCGCAGAGATGGCGAGGGCCATCTTCACCAGCTCTGACCCCAGACAGCTCATCTCAGAGGCTAACAGGTTTTCCCTACTACCCTAAGGATTGTGGCAAAACAGACTCCTCTGATGTATTTCACCAAATGGGCTTGTCAGAAAGGCCCTCTTTTACTGGCCCTGCAGACTGGCTTTTACCTCGCTCTATTTTCCAAAGGCCTAGGCCTTTTCTATAAAACCTGGAGCAAACATTAAGGCCAACATCTGCATCCTAACCCTGGAAAGATGGCAAGTGGATCTTCTGTCACAGGAGGCCCACAGTAGCGCATTTCATTCCACTCTAAGCTTCACAGAAGCCTTAGGCAAAAGATATTTTCTGATAAATGAAAAATGACCTGGGCTGCATCCTAGTCTTTCCATTTAGCTAGCACATCCCATACACTGCCACCTCCTTGAACTGGGACCTCTAGAAGGCCCTTGAGAAAAAGGTAGATACCCTTGCTACAGAGCAGCATTTCAGAAGATTTCCATCAAGCTGCCTATGCAGTCTGTCTGGCTGCTAGTTCTCAGCAATTAAAGCAAGAGTCTGCTGGCACCTGTGCTTGTAACCCCCTTATAATGGGTTTGGGCAAAGTCATCACCAGCATTCATATTCAGTCTTTTCAAGGCCCCATCTCTTCCACTGACTTTGCTGTAGCCATGCCACAGGTACCAATTTAGGGCTCTTCACAGAAAGACATTTTAAAGGAACAATTCTTTGAGACCTCTCTCTGGGCACCATTTATGTTACATATCTTTCCTTGGGATAATGAAGTGCTTATGAGTCTAAAGGTAATCTTCCTTTCTCCTCCTACCAATCCTTGAGGCTTTCATTGCTATGGCTTGGCTCTGAGTAACACATGGAAGACCTGGAGGGGCAAGAAAATACTCTCTCTTATCCCTAACCCCTGCTCCTCCTGAGGTCTAGTCACAGTGGTACAAGCCCTGCAGGAGCAGAGCAAGGAGCAAGAACTTGGAGGGCTACCAACTCCTTTGACAGAAACTTGTTGCTTTTCCTGCTTCTATTCGCCCCACTCCATGATGGCACCACAAATCATGAATTTATTCAGGGTCTTAGGAGTTTGGCACATTCTCCTCTGGGACCTCTGCCTGATCCATTTGACACTTCTCTTCCTGGCACTGTCTCTAAAAGCTACATCTATAATCAAGGAAAAAGTGCTGCCTTCCCTGGCTCCTAGGGTCTATACTTGAAGACGTTCTTCTCTGAGGCATGGAACCTCATAGAACTCTCTCTTATTAGTTTTGGTCCCCAGTGAAACATGCTCTAGTCATTTGAGCAATATGGCCACTACAGTGTGTATACTACTCAAGCAGATTCTGGGATTATCTGAATCCCAGAATAGATCCAATTCTGCCAGAGGGCCACAGAAAGCTCAAAAAATTTTTTCCTAAAGGTGCTTAAGAGAGTACAATAAGACCTGTTATTTGGAAAGGTAATGCCCCTTGACTCAGGACCCTACTTTCTCTGAAAAAGAAAGAGCTTCACAATCAGGTAAACCAGAGGAATCATAGCCTAGCCATCGTAGCTTTTTGTTGAAAGAATATTTTGGAGAGGCCCCTGCTGTCCCTGCTCCACACCCCTCACCACAGGGGCACTCACGCTGCAGGCAGTCGGCGTTGAGCAGGTCCTGGCACTTCTCATGGCACTTGACTCCACACTCGCTGCAGCGCATGCCCTGCCGGGCGATGCCCCAAAGCAGACCTTCACACTCATAGCAGTAGGTTGGGGTAGTGGCCGTCCAGACCTCAAAGTTGTGGGGTGTAGTGCACGAGATGGGGTAGATTAAGGCCTGCAGAGTTTTCTTATACACATGGGATTTCTGAAAGACACACACCCCAGCACCCCCCAACAACTTTAGGTCTCTGCTGAGAGATATCAGAACTGAGATCCTTGCAGGGTAATACAGACCCTGGTTTCTCCTCTGGCAATAAAGGAGATATGATAGCCAAGACTGGAAGAAAGAAGCCCCACTATGTCATGTGCTCCTGGTCATCCAAGAGAGATCTGACTTGAATGCTGTATCTGAACCTTTTCCCAGCATTCAAGCCTCCTAGGGAAACAGAGGGTGCTAGCCCCACCATAAAACCCTGAATTCATTGGTCACATACTCCAACATGAGACTTGGTCTTACCTCTGTTCTGGTCCCATGCCTCTTCCAGTGTGGAAAACTCAGACCAAAGCTTTTTATCTGTTTCATTAATGATGTTGTGCCCAACACTCTTGAATGCTCAGTTAGTATGGCTATAAAGATGATAACCAGTTTTTAGGCCTGTGGACTCATGGAAGCCCATGGGTCACTTACCAGCTCTTCATCCTTGAGAGATGTGCGTGTAGCCATTGCAGAAGTAATCCCTGCCTTCCGGGACTGGACCAACGACTGTGAGAGAAGACCTGCTGTCAGCCTTGGCTACTGCCAAGGGCTGGCAAAATCCTAGGAAGGGAGTTTCAGTGACCAAAGTGACTTAACTACTTGACTTAATACCTTCTCTCTAATTGAACTGCCATTCACAGGAACTACCCATGGGTTCTAGGTAACACGAGTCCCAAGTTAAGATCCAAAGCATAAGGCCCTCAGGACTGTTCTAACAGTATTAGAATGGCACTTCTCTTACAGTACCTATCATCCAAAGAGTTTCTCTTTCCTTCCCTATTGGTAGCTTTCCTACCCCTCATTTACAGGAAGGCAAAGGAAAATGACAAGTTTAGAATTACTGTAGGAAATAGTCATTAAGTACAGAATACACTATGTCAGAGTCATATTTAAGAACCATCACTGCAAATGATGCCATGCTATCCTTTATCCCTGGGTACCACCTCACACCCACACAATCCCAGGCAGGTGGCTATAGAGGCCAGCAGCCCAAATGAGGACACTTGGGAAGTGAAAGGGCAATGTAACATCAGTCAATCAAGGCAGGGATTAAACCTGAGAGCTGGGACTGCTCTGCTAGCCAAGCTGTCATTAGAGGAACCTAATGTACCTACCAAGCCCAGGCTTTAGGAACAGGCCCTGAAGAGGCACATGGTTTCCCTAAGGCAGTGGCCATTGGGCAGACAGGAGATACAGTATCAGCCTAAGCAGGGGAAAGAGTTGGGAGGGGCCCAGGTGGTTTGAGATAGGATTCTTACGAAGGATGGAAAGGGGCTCTGGAGTCACTCACCATAGCCTGTGCAGAGGACAGCAGAAAAAGGAAAAACATGATGTTAAAGCCACCCCCAAGAGCACGAAAACACTTGCAGAAGCAACTGAGAGGTTCTTCCATGTAGTCTAATCAATGTGAGGGACAACATCCTAACCCCTTCTTCCTCTATCCACTAAAAATTATCTTCAACGCTTCCAGGTGTCCAGGGCCTAGAGCTTCTGCTCTAAGAAAGAGTCATGCCAGAAAGTGAAATATAGGCAAGGTTAAAAGATGAGGATGGGAGTGGGAAATGACTAAGACACTGTTATTCAATTAATTAAGCAAAGAGGAGCTGATGTGCAAGAGAGATGGGGGTAGGCAGAGGTGGAGAAAAAGTAGGAAGACAAGAAAAAGGAGATGGAAGATAATGAAAGTAGTAAAGAAGAGATGACCTTAGAACCTATCCTCATCCAACCAGCTTGATGGTAACTGGAGACGTACATTAGAAAGAAAAAAATAAATAGAAAGGAGAGATACACATGCAGTAGGGAAAAAAAAGAGAGAGAGAGAAATGGCAGAGGATAATCCCATTCAGTCAACTAGGGACAGAGAAACTGGGGGGTGGAGTGGGGGGAAGAGCAGGGAATGAAGGAGAAATGGGAAAAGGAGTGGATAGAAAAACAAAATAGACTGAATGGGGGAGGGGAAAGAAAACAGGAACAGAAGATAGTAATAAGAAAAAGGGTTCAAGTCTTACTGAACTTCGAGCTTTAGAGCTCTAGGATTCTGGGAATGCCTGGGCCCCACTCTACCCACACTACCCACTAGTCTATGGAAAATTCTGAGTTGATCCTGCCTCAGGAGGCATGACCCAAGGTGGGACCTTCCAGTTATTCTGGAGGTCCTGAGATCAGCTTTAACTCCCAAGCTTGTTTCAATTCAATTCCACAATTTTTTTTTATCATTATCTCTCAGTGCCAGACACTGATTTAAATACTAGGGACACAGAAATACTCCAGAAAAATCTATCTTAGGAGAAGACTGTCACTTGATCTCCAAGGAGTAGCATCAGTCATGCTCATTATACACTAAACTAAATGATCTAGCTCAGTGCTAGTAAGTTCTATTCATTTCTATTCTATTCTATAGAGGCAGCTTCTATTCCATATCATCAAAGAAGGTTGTAGAAAAACGTAGAGGAACAAGACACCTAGAGGACAACTTTGGAGTCCAAGCTATAGTTCCAGGTTGGAGTTTTAGCTAATGAAGAACCTGGGACTCTAATGAGGGAGTAGGTTAGAACACGTCCAACTAAAGTCTCATCACTAAATCTCAATAAAGCTTTAGATGATACATCTTCAGTCCAATATCTGATGCTAAATGGACCATAACCAGTCCTAATAACATGCCAAGGCCCATTGGGGGATACCCCAAGCCTACAGCCTAATTCTGCAAAGAGTCACTTACCAAATCACTGACAAGCGGCAGTGGCTTCTTTCTGCGTAGATCTGGCATGCTGTCAATGCCATAGAGCCCTCCAGCTGGCCTGAGGAGAGAGGAAAATATGTCAGGACCTCCAGTCCTGCCTTGTTACCCGCAGATTCAGTGTTCTATTCTCCTTGCTCACTCTGTCTCCAGAGGAAAATTTCTACCATGTGTCCCTGAGAGGGGTAAGGAAGACACAAAGCGAGAGAAATAAAGCCATAGAATGACGATCAATGGAATCTGCTCTGAGGGTGCCCTCCTGAGTCTCCTTCTATAGTTCTGGCCAAAAATCGAGAGCTCTTTTATACCATTACAGCACTTCAAGAAACCTCTGTTTATTTGAAGGCCCTTGGTACTCCATAATGCAAGCAGGGAACTGGTAGTTAAGAGGGCTGCTCCCCACACTCAGGCCAGAGACACTGCTCCCCTAAGATCAGGGTTTCCTGGTCTATGCTAGAACAGAGCCCATAGGAATGGCTCTACAGAAGAGGTGCTGCATTAGTAAGCAAGACTGCTAATGACATGTAGGAGATAACCTTCCCCATCCTGAATAAAAGAGTCACCAGTTCTGTCCATCCAAGTCTCCTGAAGAAAAAGGGTCTCCACAGAAAGAGGAGCTTGCATAACCAAGTGGAAGCAGGGAAGGTGGGATAGAAGACTTCCAAAAGGCCACTTAGAGGGAAAAAGAGACCATTCAGGAAGGAAACAACAGAATGACTCTGAAAGTCTGGCCTAGCCCTATGGATACTTAACAGGGAACGGGGAAAAAAAAAAAGAAATTACAGCTGGAGCAACTGGAGATTTCTAAAATTTCTATACCTTTTCTATTGTTATTAATTTTGTTGTTCTTTGCCATTTCTTCCAAAACTATATACAATAAAAATAAAGAGAATGTCCTAGAACACCACTCTCACAATGAGATAACCTGGATTTTATCCCCAACTCTAATTCACTACATGTCCTCCGCCAAAATTACTTCCTCTCTTTGGGTCTTGATGCCAATTCTTTTTTTTTTTTTAATTAACATATAATGTATTATTTGCCCCAGGGGTACAGGTCTGTGAATCATCAGGCTTACACATTTCACAGCACTCACCATAGCACATACTCTCCCCAAGGTCCATAACCCAGCCACCTTATTTATCCCTACCAGCTCACCCCTCAGCAACCCTCAATTTGTTTCATGAGATTAAGAGTCTCTTATGGTTTGTCTCCCTCCTGATCCCATCTTGTTTCCTTGATGCCAATTCTATAAAAGGAATGAACTACAAAATTTCTCTGACATTTTGGAAGCTGTCATTCTGAGCCTCAATGAAAAGAACTCATGTACGTAACCTTAATGAAAACCAGGAGACAGGGAAGGTGGTAAGATAGTTGGGTAGTGTATCATAACCGGTCTGAAAAGGGATGTTGAGAAGAATAAATAGGTACTGCCAGCTAGCTATATAGGCAAAGAATGAAGCCATGAATTAGGTCAAGGCCAAGAGCTGCAACAGGCAACCTGATATGTTGATTCCTAATAAACTAGCTTCCCAAATACAGGAAATGAACTTTGCTTTCAATTAGACTACCAGACCTAACTAAGGAAGTTCTAAACCTGTGACAGCTTCCAAGGACTAAGCTGAAGGAAAGGAAAGACAACAACTGGGAGGCATTTAGAAAATTACTGTATGGCCCCATTTAAAAATAGCTTTAAAAATTAAAATAAAAATAGCTCAGATATGTTTGTCATGTACGTATTTTCCAACCATTAGAAGAAAAAAGCTAACGTCCTGAAGAAGGGTTGTAGAAAAAGCACCTGGTACCACAAGTTTGTGGTTAATTCTAAAAACTACAGTATGTACCACTGAAGCTTTTTACAACATAAATGGGCTTCAGACAACAGAAAAAAGGATAGTTCATTCAAATAACCAACTCTTGATTTAAAAAGGACAAATCACAAGGAAAAGGAGCATGTGAACACACAGTAGAAAACTTTATGATCTGCTCTTATTTCTTCCCTGGTCATGATGAAGAGGAGGCATCCACTGGGAACTCTCATGTCAGAAGGCCTTTACGGGACAAGGAGAAAAGGAAGATCCTGAGAAATAATGGGTAGGGAGAGGTGGCGGGGGGGCGGGGGTAAACTCTTCCTCTCTCAAGAACAGTCAGTTACAGGCAGCAGTTGAGCAGCTTAAAATGACTCTCTGCTGCAGTCACATGGGCCCGAGACTCCCAAACAAGAAGCACAGACAGAACACACTGAGCTCATAAGGGATGCTACTTATGTCTTGACTAGAGTGGAATGGAATAAGTAGGTGACTCACAACAGCTGAAGTCAGGACAGAACCCAGAGAGTAATCTAATCAACCATGCTTATAAACGGTGCAATAAAAAAGAACTGTGTCAAAGGTAGATACTTTTCTAGTTTCCTCTTTCTTCTACCTAAAGGGTATATAATTACTAAGATGCAAAGAATCGGAAATTCTAGAGGCAAGGATAGAGAAGCCCCAAAGCTCCCTTCCCTGCTCCAGGGGAACCACTCTATAAAGCTTTCTCTTCTGTCTCTGAAGGATCAGTCTGCAGAGTTCTCTCCTCTCCCCAGAAAACCAACCAATCTGTATAGCAGGGCCTCTTCTTCCTCAGGATCCAACTGAGGAAGCTTTTTCTACTGCTTCCCAGGGGAAAAGCTGGAAGTTGAGTGAAAGCCTATAAAATCCAAGGAAACCTTGTAGGGAATCACTTACCCTTCTGGGAGCCACTGAGGCAAAGAGGAGTGACCATCATCCGGAATCTTTAAAAAGAGATAGGAAAAAAGTTAGATCCTAGAAAAGATGGTAGGCAGTCATCTTTCTTTGGTCAGGCAGTGAGCAGGAAAGTAGGAAACTCAGAGAAGTGTAGGTTACATACAATCTGTGGTGACACAGCCAGACTGATGTCTAAGCCAGTGCCCTGATCAGCCAAAACAAAAAGCAGATTGTTGAAATGAGCACTACTTTGTCTCCCTTCTCCCCAGTGAATAAGAAGGATATAAAGTCAAGCTCACTGAGATCTCAAGGCTAAGGTTCACTGGGAGTGTGAGAGGTGCCAGAACGTCCATCCCCCTCACACAATTCACTGGTATATATAACAGTAAGCCAAGGCAAAAAAAAATAATAATAATAAAATAAAATCCATCTGGGGCTTCCAGGCCTCACCTCACTCACTTAAGCAAAAGGACAACTTCATATAGAATCTTCTTCTAGTTATATTCCTAAGTTCCCTTTGCCGTCACAGAGTGGTGACTTGGTCTTTCTAGATTCCCATTTCATCTTGTGATTTGACTTGGCTTAGGTTCCTTGAAGTCCTAACTCATAGACATTCTACATTTGATAAGCTCTCTCTCTCTATATAACAAGAGAACCCAGGGTAGATTTGATACTTAGAGTCTATCTTCTGGTGGACATTATGAGCTCTATAATGAGAAATTGAAAACTGAGGTACCAAACAATTCAAAGAAGAAGCAGTTTGAAAATAGTTTTTAAAGCGTTCTCCATAAGCAAACGAACAAACAAACCCACAGAAAAAAGTCCTTTAAGCAGTGTACAGAGCAAAGTTCCAAAGCTTTGGAACTTTCAGAGCTCTCCAGAGAGCCAATGGTAAAGGCTGTCTAGGCTCAAAAAACCTAGTGCTAGCAGGTCTGGGGCTTCCCGCCCCTTCCTTGTTCCCTTCCACCCCCCAAAACTTTCCTGACTCCTGATACCTGGGCTCCAGCTAGCTATCCTGGAACAAAAGGGCTCCAAAGCAGGGAAGGCAGAAGTAAGGTGTTTAACTTTATACAGGGGGTAAAGTTTTGGGAGAGCCACAGATGGGAGAAGTTATAGATAAAATTAGGCAAGACAAAGTAGAAAAGGGAGAGTTAGGACAGCCGTGGCACAGGGTGATGTAAAAGTGGGTAAGAATTACCCTGGGTCAGCAGTAGGCTCAAGATGAACTTTGTATTTAAGACCCTTCTCAGATTGTCTGTATTCTAAGAAAGCCTATCTGCCTGTTCCCTATAGCCCTTCAGGAACCTATTTCACCTTATCTGGCTCTTGCCCTGGTTCTGTGGGTGGGATAATACTGGCAAAAGGAGAACCAAGCCCAAAAGGAAACCAGAAGTGGTTGATATACCTCTCCTAAGGTTGCTTCTGAGGGGTTGCTCTATCCCTAAATCCCCAAATAGTCCCAAATCCCTAAATCCCCAAACCCAAAATAGTCCACTGTACTGAGCAGATTTTTATTTCCTGCCTAGAATTAGATGTTTGCCAGAAACCACAGACTTTAAGGAAACAAAGTCACAAAAGGTCTCTGGGAATCGGGTTCAACGAGCTCAGATCATACACATTTCCTATGCTTAGAGGAGGTAAAGGGTCTGCTAAAGTCTGCAGACAAAGCATAGAGCATGCACACAGAGGTACTGAAGGAGGACTGAAAGTAAGAGGAGATTCAAATAAAGTACCTACAGCAGGTATATTCATAGACACAACTTATGCCTGAAGGAAACACACGGTGGTCATGGATCCTGCACATAGGGTGATAAAACATGTGCACACACCCATTTGAAGGATTCAGTGTTCCCCATGGCTGGAATCATAGGCAACAGCAAACCCTCACTGTCTTCAAGAACCAGTGCTTACAGGCACAAAGCATTAGTTATACTGTGCATTCACATGGCATGGGGGAACCACATCATGGGTCTACAGAACCTTGTGCTCACAGAGAGACCAAGAAACCTTTTCAGAAGCACAAAGCACATTCACACTTAGGACCCCAGGCAAGAGGCACAAAATGCCCATAGCAACTCCTGCTCCCAAATACAAAGTGTATGCATGCTGGGCTCAGCCAGGGTTTACAGCATATGCCAACCTGCAGCAACAAGCAAAAAAATGGACAAACACTGTGTAAAGTAGAAGAGGGGGGCAATCAGTGTTTAGGGTAGTCAAACTGAGTACAAGTATAAGCACACACATGCTACATTGAATGTGTACCATGCTGGCACACACATTCTCACACTGTGCTCCAGGGATGTCTGCACACGAGAACGGAGCATGCTTACAAACTGCTTTCAGGAAAAACAAGACTATCTGCAGGAGCCAAAGGTCAGGGGCACAGATCATACATGTGTGTGCAGGCGCGCACACATACACACATGTGCACACACATGCACACCGTGCTCAGGAGAGAAGGGTTGAAAACAGACAACAGAAAGGGCCCAAGAGGCCAGAGGCACAACCTGAACGGCTCCTCGCTTTCCTTCTGCAAGGAGAGAAAGAGCAGGAAAAAAGAGCAGAAAGGTTAGTAGATTCAGTCCCATAGCATGGAACCCCAAGAAAATGCCAGCTAAATCTCAAGGGACATGGAGGAAAGAAAAAGGTCCCCTGAACAACTGGGCAGTTCGCAGAGCCTAATTTCCAGAATCCCTACATACTGTATTGGCTGGCCCCTCCTTTTAGTTTAGAACAGTTCCTGTCTGGCTACTCATCCTAAAGGACAAAGTCTACCTGGGGGTTTCAGTCACCCACTTCCCCTTTCCAAGCTGGCTTGCATGCAATGTCAGGGAAACCAGGGCCACAGATTTTGTTACCAAGGGCCACTCCGACAGGCTATCTGAACTGGGTAAGCACAAAGTGAGTTCCTTCCTCAGAAGCTATATGTACTCTCACCCTGGATCTGGGGTAAGTCCTCAACCCCCAAAGTCCTGGTAATTGAACCATTTCCCATTTTACCATGCAGGCTTGGCCATGCATTTGCCCAGCAAACACTGGCCTGTTTTCCCAAAGCCTAAGTTAAGTTAGGACAGGTTAAGGTCTGAATTTAAGGCTAGGACCAGGATGCTTAAAGCCTATAGCTGGAGGCATCACCTGGCCCCTGACCTAATAGAAGTCACCAAGATCTAGATAATAAAACCATGATAGCAACCCCAGGCCTGAATATCTATTAAATCCAGAACAATACTCCAAAGGAAATGGATGCTTCCAGAAGGACCTTAGCAAGCCACAGTAGAGAAAGATAAAGACAGAGATTACTCCTTCTACTCATCAGGCTACATTACCTATTAGGAGACATATGGATAGCTCCATAGGTTTCCTTCTCTAAGGCAAGTCCATTCACCTGGACTGATCAGCTCCCCTCCACTTTCTTTTCCCTCCCTTTTAAAGACCCACTGATATTACATAACAAGTAAAACAGAGAATCATAGAAACTAACTCATAAGTTTCCAAGTTTTCAGTTATTTCTAATGGCCTAACGGGTCACCTGACTTGACAGAAAAGTGAACTCAGGAATAGGAATCCTCCAAAACAGTGCAGCTACAGAAATGTGGATAAGATGCAAAAAACACTTGCTGGAATGGGGCCATATCTCTTTTACTTCTACTCCCACCTCCCCTACTGTACTCTGCTCTCTTTGTGAAAAAGAAAATAAGGCAAGGAACACTTTAACTGACCTGTGATTCAAATTAGAAAGGTTTCTCTCTATCTCCACTATCTTAAAAATACACTCTATACATCATGTCAAAGTTAAGTTGTGTCTTTCTATTCTTCCCAGAGTTTCCCATAATGCGTAAAAATCTGCTGACAAGGCTGTCCGTATATATATAATTTTACTTTTGTAGCCCGAGGGCTTAGCACATTTCCTAGTATTTGTATATAGCAAAAGGAACCTAAACTTTCAGGACTTAGAAAACAATAGCTTCTAAGAACATGTGTTTTGCCCATCACCAGAGAAAACATAGGTCTCTTAGCTAACAGTCTGTACCATTTTTCAGACCCCAAGGAACTGCTGTACTAGCTCTTCAATTTGTCCCACCCACTGGACAAACATAAGAAAACCTTTTTCTTGTTAAGAGTCGAACTTTTTTGTGCATCCTAACTTTCTAAAATGCCTTAACATTTTTCCACTCAGATTTAGTTTTCAGTTTAAGTGCAATGTATCTGTAGAACACCCACTCTGCCAAGAAAAAAAAAAATCCCTGACCCCTAAGAATGATTGGAGAATACATTTTATAAGGAAGTAACATACTTCTTCATTATTAAAACAATCTTAACTTCAGTTTACTTGGGAGTCAAAAGACTTGAGGTACTCAAACTTATTTGAGCCTGCATTTCCTTATCCATAAAAAGCAGATAAGACTGCTACCTCCCAGGATTACAGTGAGGATTCATTTCTTCAACAAGTACTTATTGAGAACCTACTGCACACTAGGCACTGTTCTCAGCGCTGGTGATAAAGCAAAGGGAATGAAACAAGCTCCCTGATCTTGAGAAGCTTCTATTCTAGAGGAAAAGCTGATGACTGATCATGACAAAGGTGATGATAGTAGCTAACGCTATAATGTATCTGTCATTTTATTTGAATAAGCTCATTTATTTCTCCCAACAACTCTACTGGGTAAATACTATTATTATCTCCATTTTTTTGTTGATTAAACTAAAGATCATCAGGGAGGTTAAGAAAGTTGCCTGAAGTCACAGCAAGGGGCAAAGCCAAAATTCACAACAGGGCATTTGGTTCCATGACCTAGATCTATATACACACCGTATCTCTTGTGACAGAGACTCTGCTTCAAAATTCAGGTAAGGTGGGGAAGATAATGTCCCCTATGGTGACATTACAGTTACTATTTTTTTCTTAAAAATTTTATTTATTCAAGAGAGAGGGAGAGTGAGCATGAGTGGGAGGAGGGGCAGGGGGAAAGGAAGAAACAGACACCCATCTGAGCAGGAAGCCTGACACAGGGCTTGATCCCAGGACCATGACGTCATGACCTGACCTGAGCCAAATGCAGATGCTTAACCAAGCCACCCAGGTACCCCACTTTAAAAATTTTATAAAGGTTATCAGGGAGGCCTCATCGATAATGTGACATCTGAGCAGAGACCTGAAGGAAATGAGTCAAGAAGTTATTTGGATTCTAGGAAAGACATATCCTAATCCGAACCAGAACAAGTACAAAGCCTGAGGTAAGATACGTTGCACTTAAATTGAAAACTAAATCTGAGTGGAAAAAATGTTAAGGCATTTTAGGAAGTTAGCAAGCACAAAAAGTTTGACTCTTAACAAGAAAAATGTTTTCTTATGTTTGTCCAGCGTCTGGTGTTCATAGAAGATGTCTGGGCCAGAGATATAAACCTGGGAATCCTTATGAAACTCATGATATTGAAATAGGTTACTTAGCCCTATAAAAAGAAGAATAAAAAGCCCTATAAAAGGCCCGAATAAAAAGAAGAAATCAGGACTGAATCCTGGGATGCTACAGGTTGGGAAGATGAGGAGGGACCAGCAAAGATGGCTAAGAAGGAGACACCTGGGTGGTTCAGTTGGCTAAGTGTCTGCCTTCAACTCAGGTCATGATCTCAGGGTCCTGGGAAAGAGTCCCACATCTGACTCCTTACTCGACAGGGAGCCCGCTTCCTGCAAGCCCTGCTTGCAGCTCCCCCTGCTTGTGTGCTCTCTCTCTTTCTCTCTCACAAATAAATAAAATCTTAAAAAAAAAAAAAAGATGGCTAAAAAGGAATGGTCAATAGTACTGGGGTAGAACAAATACAGAGAGGTGGTCTAGAAGACAAGTGAAGAAAGTGTTTCAAAAAGCAGGAACTGAGGCATAAGTATAGACTGCAAGAGTCTTTTTTAACAAATGGTGGTGGAACAGCAATATGTATATGAATGAAGTTACAGCCCCATCTCACACCATACACAAAAATTAACTCAATAGGGATCATAGACCTAAAAGAGCTAAAACTAAAAAACACTTAAGAAAAAACATAGGCGTAAATTTTTGTGATCTTGGGTTCAACAATGGTTTCTTACCTGTGAAACCAAAAACACAATCCACACAAGAAAAACAGATAAATTGAATACATCAAAATCTAAAATTTTGCACTCTATTTCATACCCATTACAATGGCTATTACAAAAAAAAAAAGTAACAACTTTTGGCAAGGATGTAGAAAAATTAGAACATTTGTTGGTAGGAATGCAAAATGGTGCAGCCACTGTAGAAAACAATATGGCAATTCTACTTTAGTTGTATACCCAAAGGAAACGAAAGCAAGGATTCAAAAGAGATATTTATATACCAATGTTCATACCAGCATTATTCACAATAGCCAAAAGGGGGAAGAAACCCAAGTATTCACCTACAAATGAGTGGAAAAACAAAATGTGGTATATATACATACAAAGGAATACCATTCAGCCTTAAAAAGGAAATCCTGACACATGCTACAACATGGATGAACCTTGAGAACCATTGCAAACATTACGCCATTAAAACAGGCCAGTCACAAAACAACAAATACTGTGTGATTCCACTTATATGAGGTACGTAGAGCAATCACACTGACAGAGGCAGAAAGTAGAATGCGGTTGCCCGTGGCTGGGGGGAGGGAGAATGGGGTTAGTTTAATGGGTAGAGAGTTTCAGTTGTGGAACATGAAGAAGTTCTGGATATCAGATAATGGTGATGGCTGCACAACAATGTGAACAGACTTAAAATGGTTAAAATGATAAATTTTATATGATGTATAATTTACGGCAATAAAAAATTTTTAATAAAACATGTATGCTTCAAAAAAAAACACCATCAAGAAAGTGAAATGACAACACAAAGATTGGGGGGAAATATTTATAAATCATATATGTGATAAGAGGCACATGTCCAGAATATATAAAGAACTTTTATAATTCAGCAACAAAAAGACAACTCAATTTGAGTAGACATTTCTCCAAAGAAAATACAAAAATGGCCAATACACACATGAAAAGATGCTTAACATCATTAGCCACTAGGGAAATGCAAATCAAACCACAATAAGATACCACTCACACCCACTGGGATGGGTATAATAAAAAATACAGACACTAATAAGTGTTAGCAAGAATGTGGAGAAATAAGGACTTTCATTCCTTACTGGCTGAAATGTAAAATGGTGCAACCACATTGGGAAACAGTCTGGAAATCCCTCAAAAATGTTAAACTTAGGGGCGCCTGGGTGGCTCAGAGGGTTAAAGCCTCTGCCTTCGGCTCGGGTCATGATCCCAGGGTCCTGAGATCGAGCCCCGCATCGGGCTCTCTGCTCAGCGGGGGGCCTGCTTTCTCTCTCTCTCTCTCTCTCTGCCTGCCTCTCTGCCTACTTGTGATCTCTGTCAAATAAATAAATAAAATCTTTAAAAAAAAATGTTAAACTTAGAGTTAACCATATGACCCAGCAATTCCACTTCTAATACATATCCAAGAGAACTGTAACCATACGTCTGCACAAAAACTTTTACACAAATGTTAATAGCAACATTCATAATAGCCAGAAAGTAGTAAACAACAAAAACCACAAGCCCATCAAATAACGAATAGATAAACAAAATACGGCATATCCATATGATGGAATATTTTCCCACGACAAAAGGAAATGAAGTATTGATACATGTTACAACATGGCTGACTCTGAAAAACATGCTAAGTGGAAGAAGCCAGTCATAAAAGGCCACATATCATATGAATCCATTGATATGCAACATCCAGAACAGGCAAATCCAAAGAATCAGAAAGTAGATTAGTGGTTGTTAGAGGCTTGAAGCAAAGGGGATTACCTAATAGTTAAGGGGTCTCTTTTTGGGGTGATAGAAATGTTCCGGAGTTTGATGGTTGCATAATCCTATGAATCTACTAAAAAACACCCAATTGTATACTTTTAAAGGGAATTTAAAGGTGAACTTTGTTGTAAGTAAATTATAATTCAATACAGCTGTTATAATAAAAGAAGGATGTAATCAATTATGTCAAGTTGTTGATTAAGAGGAGGACTAAAAATGGAACAGGAGTTTGATAACATGGTGGTCATCCAATGGCCTTGGCAAAAGCAATTTTGCTAGAGTCGTAGAAATAAAAGAATTGGATTTTCAAACATCGCATGTAACAGTACTTAAAACAGTGCTATGCACCCCCCGAAACAGAAGAAAAAAGATAAAAAATAAGAACTCAAATTAGTGGTAAGCTACTAGTAAGCTTAGGCCCTGAGGCCTCAAGCAGAGCAGTGAAAAAAGCTGATTTCTTAAATGTTTCATTGTAGTAGTAGCCACTGTTACTAATACTGAAATATACTGATAAAAGCTCAGGGTGGCGCTGTTGTGGGTGAAAGGCTAACCCTATGTGCTTACCTTGCTCTATTCTTCCTACCCGATGGAATGCTGTTGGGAGTCAGGCCTAGACCCAGCACCCTTCTACCACTCCCTCTGCAGCCCACAGACCAGACTCGATCTTGGCTAGGGCCCAGGACTCTGGTTTGCTTTCTTACTGGTGCTTCAGAAAACCTGCTTTGTCTCATTATCACTGCTGTTGCCACCACCTGCTTACCACAGGTACAAGTTCCTGCATTGCCCACCAGGATATCAGCTTAGAAAGGGAATTTTGCAAGCTGAAGAGCCAGACCAGTGTGCTGAGTACTCATCCTAACATCAACTGCCACCAATGCTTAAGAAGCTGGTAAGGAAGTACTGCTTTGGTATTTGTTGTTTCCATTGTTGCTGTGATGTAGTAACTTCTAAATGCCCAGGGAGAAGGAAAAAATGATGCAAAATTAAGAGGAGAAAGAAATCTCTTATAACTGAGTAATTACAGAAAGCTTCCTGGAAGAGGTGATATTTTGGTTGTATATTGAAGAACTGAGTAAATTCTGCTAGGCTGATTTGATGAACACAGCACCTTAGGATAAAAGAAAGCATGTATATGTGAATATGCTGAGAAAAGACAGTACAAGGTGAATTTGTGACAGCAAAGTTTCCTTTTGGGTGGAGTATAGTGGGACAACTGGAGGTAAGCCTGCAAATGGAAACAAGGGACCAAATGTACTGGTTCTGAATGCCAAGTGAAGGAATTTAGACTTTTCTCATAAGCTATAAGTAGTAGCTTAACTCTAGGGATACTTGAAAGGAACATGATGTGATTTTACTTTTTAATTTTTAAATTTTTATAACTTGGTATCACATTTATTATTCAAATTCTAAAAAGTATTTTAAAAGGTTTACAATGAAAAAAAAATCTACTTTTCACCTTAGTTTTTCACCCAATACCTTTGCTCATGGGCAATCAGGTATCAATCAGTCTCTTACATATCCTTTTTTTTTTTAAATTTTTATTTATTTACTTGACACAGAGAGAGAGAGAGAGAGAGAGAGAGATCACAAGTACGCAGGGAGGCAGGCAGAGAGGGAGGGGGAAACAGGCTCCCCGCCAAGCAGAGAGCCCAATGTGGGGCTCGATCTCAGGACCCTGAGATCATGACCTAAGCTGAAGGCAGAGGCCTAACCCACTGAGCCACCTCTCGTACGTATCTTTGTTAGATATTCTATACAAATAGATACAGATACTATGAGTTTGCGTATTCTTTCCCTCTCTTTTTTATACAAATGTAGACATTTTATAATACTGTTCTGCATCTTGCTTTTTCATATGGCAATATATCTTAGATACCTCTCCGTTTCAGTAAAGAGCTACCTCATTCTTTTTATAGCTGTATGGTACTTGTGGTACTGTATTATATGGTTAGGATGTGCCAGTAGGTTATTTAACCAGTCCTTTTTTTTTTTTTTCCCCAAGATTTATTTATCTGAGAGAGAGAGAGAGAGAGCCTGCCTGAATGGGGGAGGGGCAAGAGGGAGAGAGTCAGAGACACAGGGCTCCAACCCATGACCCATTAGACCATAATCTGAGCCAAAACCAAGAACTCAATAAACTGAGCACATAGGCCCCCCCAAACAGTCTTTCTTAACATTTAGGTTGTTTTCACTCTTTGCTACTAAAAACAATGCTTCAAAAATAGAACATATGTCCTTTACACATGTGAAAATAAACCTGCAGGATATATTCCTGGCAGTGATTTTAGGGCTCAAAGGGTATATAGAATTCTGATATATTTTGCCAATTGTCTTCCTTAGAGGTTATACCAATTTACACTCCCATCCCACTAGCAATGCAGGAGTGCCTGTTCCCTCACACCTTTGTCAACACAATATGCTTCATAATTTTAATTCTCCCTTAGAAACATTAATCAGGTTATATGCATAGGAGGACAACCCCACTTACATTTAAAACTGGATGAATATAGCATATGCTCTTTGGATAAATTTAATTTTGATTGGGAGAAGTAAATTTAAAATGCTGCCTAGAAAAAAAAGTACTCTCACTCCTTGAGTCAAAACCATTCCATTCTCCAGTTTAGGTGAGGAGCATTTAGCCAGAAATGGAAGGAGTATGATCTGTGGAAGGCAGAGTCCGGTTCCTGGGTAGGGCAAGGACTGGACAGCTTCAAGTTGAAAATAAGGTTCTGCGTTAAGTCCAGTACTGGGAATAAGAAACATTAGGATAAGGGAAATTCCCACAATGGCCCATCAGCTGCTAGGGAGATGACAATCTTATCTCAGCAAGAAACCCATTTAGAATAATTTCAAAATGCAGTGCAGGATTGCATCAGCCCCTCCAGTGACTGTGAGCAATATGCCCATTCCTGCCTCCTACACCATACCTACTTTACAGTGGCATATCCTAAAGGACCTGTAGCTGTAAACTACTGTCTACATGTTCCTCCCTTTTTGGAAAGGTAGTTTCTAAAGCTGCCCTCAACTCCCCAATACACTGGAAGCTTCCTATAGGCAGGAACTCCTTTCCTGTTGCTTTAGAACCCTCTTACACTCCATTTCCCACAAGGATTAGCTTAAAAGCTGTATTCGAGTAATTTAGACTAATTTAAGCTGTGGTCCTCCCCCATCACCTTGTGAAACTCACCACCAAGGTGGGTCTCAGGCTAGCCTGATAGAGGCCATACCCAGCCAGCTGTGACCCCATTAAATATAGATTTAGAATACCTGAGTGTATGTCTTCTACTGAGACATTCTTTGCCTTCTGTACTAGCTCATGCAAAAGTTTTTTCTGCCTCAGTCTTTTCTCTCTCAGAACATTTTTGAAATTGTTGATGCACTTGTTGAGGTAGATGGTCTCTGCACACACTTGTTCTAGGCTTAGTATGCCCTGCTTGGGAGATTCAGGCCTGGAACACGTTTCACCTCCCAGACATGGAGCCAGAGCAAAACCTGGTAATGAATATGCAATAGGCAAGGAGTTAGAAGCAACAGAGAAGTTGCTGGGATCCTGAAAGGTTTGGTCTCTCTGTGTAGAGGTGCCCACTCCACCAGAGACCACACTGAGAAAGCTCTCACTCTCCTGACTCCCAGGGCTCTCCACAGAGAAATCTTGGGCACCCTCTGAACCCACTGTCCCAAGAAGTCTATCACTGTTCTCCGACTGAGAACCGCTCTCATTGCTTTCCAGGTCCTCAGGACTGATTGACCCACCATTTTCCAGCTTCTGAAACACGCCCTGCAGAGCTGAACGAAAGTGGTGAATTGCTCGGCCCAGTTTGCTTTTGTAAAACTTAATTTCAATATCTTCATCCTCCTGCAAGCCAACCAAGCCACAAGATGACTTTTCAAAGACATCTTTAAGGACCTGAGTAGCATGTTCCTCTTCATTCAAGTCAATATGAACCATGTCACTGAAAGTCTCAGGCCCTATGATGATTTCCTCCATCATGTGGTCATGGCTCAGAGTTGCAAATCTTTTGGACTTGTCTGTTAAAAGGTCCTCTAGCTGCTTAGAGCTCAGAATATCAAGCCCAGCTTCACAGGCCACGAGCTTGTCCTCTGTCTTCAGCAACCCAGACAGCGACAGGCAGCTGCCAGTGTCACTTTTATTGCTGCAGTTGTTTTCTCTTTTTGCTACACTACATGTTTCAAATCCTTGGGTGGACTGTTTGAAAACCTGGGATTTCCCAGAACCCTCCTCTTCTGAGATTAACACTGGGGAAGGTTCCTCAGAAGCTTCTCTCCCTGTCAGCTCACCACAACTGCCACTGGTAACTTGGGAGGCTCCTGAAGTTCCTTTTACTTCATCTCCTGGCTTAGATACATCACTTGGCTTTGTGAAATTATTCCTGGGTGGAAAGCAAAGGCCTTGCTGCTCAGGGGTTTGAGGTTCTCTGTGTTGATTTTGAGCCCTCATTTGACATGCTCCTGTTATGGGTCCTGGGTCCCCTGTTTCCATCTGAAGAAGTGGTTCATACTGGTTTAAAGAATTTGCATTATGATCCTGAAGTTGTTGCAAAAATGAAAGAGACTCCTTTTGAGGATTCTTATAGCACTGTGGCCAGCTTGGTTCTTCTTTGGTGGCAATACGGACCCCTACACTCTGCAAAAGGATGGACTTCTGCAAGATGAAGTCTCTATGCTCTAGATGGGCAAGTTTCACAACAGTAGGCCTGGGAGCTGGGGCTTTGCCTGCCCTGTAAGCCTCTTTGATGTACCTGTTGCACTGCATGCCATTAACACAGAGGTGCATGGCCAGAAAGCTGTGTACCAGCTCCATGGTATTTTCCCCGTCTTGCTCAGGAAGTCCATACAGATACAGAATGGCTTCTTCACCGGGGCTGTCCACATGGGGTTCCTGGGCCATTTCCCCCACACACACCTTGGCCAGGGAGCTGCTGCCTACCTGCAAGCCTTCTATTCCACTCAGAACCGAGTCTACACAGCTAGACACTTCATCCACTGAACCCCGGACTTGGCTCAAGTGCTGCTGCAGCTCAGCAATTTCAGTCTGGAGACGGCTGATGCCTTGTAGCTCTCTGATTATATAGTCTACTACATCCCCCAAAGGCTCTCTCTGTTCACAGCTGCAGCCTTGGTGAAGGCCTCTGGACAAAAGGGACTTGGCTTGATTCCTTTCTGAGGGCTCTTGACAGCTTGTGCTTATGCTGACAGACAATAGGTCCTGAGAGCCAGATCCTAAAGCACAGGGAGTGGAGCCCAGAGGAAACTGGCTGCCGGTCTGCTGCTCAAAGCTGCAATGCTGAGCCAGGCCCCCATCTCTATCCCCACCAATGGTTGAGGCTGTTGAACCACAGTGAGGGAGCAGGGAGCTATCCTCTGGTAAGGATTCAATAGGGCCTGAGGACTTGTTCTTGATGCCACACATAGTCTCTGACTTAGCCTTATCTGGAGAAAGCCTGGAAGAGGGTCCCAAGGTGACTATGATTTCTTCCTCTGACTCTTGCAACAATCGTTTCATTTTCTCCCTCAGGGTCTGAGGGATTCTCTGCTTCTTCCTCTTTCTGGTCAGGGTGCTTAACAGAGATTATCTTGGAAGACAATATACTGCCCTGCTCTTTTCAGTCTATTTCTAGCAATTATGGCTGGCTGATGCCTTGGGCTTAGCCCACAGTACTGTCTGGAATGATTCCATGTGTAGTCTCCAAACCTGGTACATGCCCCTGGATTCTGGCTTGACTCTTATCCTGCAGCTAGTGAAAAAGGAAAATAGTGCACTCAGGTCAGAAAGCAGCAGGATAATTTTAATCTGAATCAAGCTGTCAAGCAGGAATAAGAACGTTACCTTCTAAGACTGTAGAAGCCAACCCTGACCTGTCTCCCACTGCTGGCCTTCAAGGCTGTAGGCAGTCACTTCTCTTTTCTTGGCTTCCCATCAGAGTATTGATGTATCAACTCCTTGTGTTCTGGGCAAGTACTCAAAGCCATTAAAATTAAGACAAACTCCTGGGAAGTAGGTGGGTAAGGTCAATGAGTGACTGAACCTTTACAAAATACAACACTAGGGTCTGCTTCAGGAATGAACAAATAGATGCTTAACTACCAAAGCTCAAATTACATACACAGTGAAAGACAGAGACAAGACAAGGAATGTTTGTTTTCCCAGTTGGATGTTTTGCTGAAAACTTAGCAATTCCAAGGTTGGTTCCTGCCTGTGTTTATAGAGACAGCTATCTTTCACTTGGAAAAAAAGACCATGGCAATTATTTCAAACTTGGAGGGCAAAAAAAAAAAAAAATGTTTTCTAAAAATTCTGGAACAAGGTGGCATGGCATAGGCAAAAATCATTGTCCAGACTCAGATGCATTAACCATGTTTGGATCTAGTGGGGCATGTGGCCAAAGACACACATATGGTGGGTCAGCTAGGGATGAAGGAAGCTCAGGGACAGCCTGGAATCCTGAACTCCATTTAATAGTCCCCAAGCACTTGGTGTAGCCTAATCAACACACAGGTTTGGCTTTTCTCCTCTACCGTGCATTCGATCTAAGACCTCCTTCAGAGCACCAGGGTACTCCTGGAGTACCGTGGTGTAACAGAGGATTGCTCTAGCCCTCCAAATGGCCTGGAGAGAACAATGCATGGGACAGGTGGGGAACTGGTTATATCACAGAGGGCTTGAGGATACTTTGCTATTCTTCAAAAAGGTGAAGCTAGTCTGCCACCAGTCTTGTCCCATACCCTAAACTACAAGTGACTACTACAGAGGTAAAGATGACTATTACCTTACATGGGGCTGGTATCCTTTTCCTTTTTACTGGGATCATGCAGAGTGTAGGGAAGGAGCAGAGTAGAAAGTACAAAGGGAAAAGCTAGGAGTCCAGGATTACATGGGACTGCCAATACTTTCTGGTTCTACTGGGTTACCCTGGGAGAGGTAAAATTGGTTGGCGGGAGACATGCAATCCTTCATGTTGTACAATCAGAGATGACTTCCCCATTGTCTAGATTTGATCTAGATTTCTAAATCATCTAAACTCCTGCCTCCTTTTCTTTTCCCAGTAACTCAAGTTAACCCTAAAAGAGGAAAACTGCCTGTGAAGATCACAAGCTGAAAGCTCCCACAGCAATTCATTTTCAGGAAGGCCTACTATCTACAGTTTATGTGCTTAAAAGTTAAAAACACTGTGCTTTCCCTTCATAGGAAGAATCAGAAGCATGAGTCATAAGACTTGGGATAAAGATTAAGCTAACCCCTTTCACTGGAATTAACCAGGCCAAGAGACTAGAAACCAAGAAACGAGATTAATTCCCCTTTCATGTCTTCCCTCCTGCTCTGTAGTTCTTCTAAAAACTCTACTTCGTTTAGGAACTCCTCACCTAAAAATGCTACCCATTCTGTGAGGTACTGCCAAGGCCCAATCACTGCTTTTTAAGCATTGTTGCTTTACTCCTATGTCTCAAGGGGCCAGTATCAGCCACACCCCTAAATGGCCAACTCAGTATAATCTGTGTAAGAGAGGGAGATAGAGAGAAGACGCTCCATGTGCACAATCAGAACTGCTGGGTCTTGGGCTTAGTACCTAACTGCCTAGACAGCAAAGCTCCCAATTCTAGGACTGACTGGTCAAATTATTCCTTCTCTCCTTCCACAAGTGCACAACTGTATTTCCAAAGCCATCCTTCTCTTTCCCTCAAGCCCGGCCCCAACTGTGCAAGTTCTAGGTTCACCTGATTTTGTCTTGGCACCTGGTATTAGCTTTGAACAAGGTCACTGGTCTGATAAGGGCTGGAACTGGTAATCAGCCTTTCCAGTTTGTCTCAAAGAGAAAGATTGTTTACTAAACCAAGATGGAAGGTCCGCACGACCACGTGAAGCCGTGAGCAAGTGCTACTAAATTGAGGATCAAAAGACTTAAATTTGGGTCTTGCTTAATCAGTGACCTTGGATTAAACCCTTGACTTTTCTGTTCTTTAGTATCCTCATCTATAACGTGGGGAAGACAGTCACAGGAATGTTGCCAAACATGCGACCACCTATAAAAGGGTATGATTTGAATAAACCATGATTTCTATCTAACCCCAAAACCCCTATCTTTCCCAGTGTCTTTTAACGGTCTGCAGCACTGCTTGGAACCATACCACTGGAGTGTGTCATCCTTTCTTAATCCTGTTTTCTTCTAGAAGTTGTTTCTTTTTTTTTTTTTTTTTTAAGATTTTATTTATTTATTTGACAGAGAGAGATCACAAGTAGACAGAGAGGCAGGCAGAGAGAGAGAGAAGCAGGCTCCCTGCCGAGCAGAGAGCCCGATGCGGGACTCGATCCCAGGACCCTGAGATCATGACCTGAGCCGAAGGCAGCGGCTTAACCCACTGAGCCACCCAGGCACCCTAGAAATTGTTTCTTAAGATTAAAAAAAAGAGAGGGCAAAACAGTGGGTTCCCAACAATTCATTTTCATTCAGGTGACAAGAGGCTTGCCATGCTCCCTCAGGCAGTCTGAAAGCACGAGAAAGGGGCAAACAGCTAGAGAAGGCAAACTTTTCCTTTCTAATGCTGATGAGGCCCAGAACTCATTGCCAGGTCTTCCAAGAGACTAACCCCACTTTGGTCCAGAGAAGGCAGCTTTTCCGGAGCAAAAGCGAATCTGATTCTCCTGCTGCTTCAGTGCAAGTCAGGTTAACTGCAGGCCTATTCCTGCTTTTCAGATCAATACTCCAGATAGGCTTGGCTTAAATTCCTGAACAGACTTGCCAAGTGTCTCCTCTGAGAGTACAGTGCCTTCAACAGTGGCGGGCTAGCCATACAGGGGGCAAATGGCACAGCCACTGTGTTCAGAGTCCTTTCCTACAGCCTCCTGAAGGACTAAAGGCAAAGCTGCCTGGTTTCCTATATTACTAACAAATAGGAAATTTCCAACTATAGCAACTTCTCCCAGCCTCAAAGAAAAAGCTTGCTTCCATATCAAACAAACTCCCCCCAAAACTTCTTATGAGTTATAACCACTGCCCGTAGATGAACCTAAGAATCACCTCCTGGGGATATGGGTTCCCTAAAGGCACCAAACCCATTCAGCCATCCAGATATTTAGGTTATGAAGCAGGGGACAGAGTTCAATGTAATGACCAGAGAATCAACCAGTCACTTGGCTCAGAACCCAATAAAATACCCGGAGCCAGAAAGCCCAAGTCAAGTCCACCTCCCTCTGAGCCTCTCTTTGTTACTAGCATCCACAGGAATGAAATAACAAGGGCTAAAGAGTGAGGACAGTTTGATCTCTGAATCAATTCAACTGATTTGTCAGGCACTAAGCTTTGTGCCAGGGATATAAGACACTGTCCCTGCATCCTAATATATCAAGGTTTAGAGAGGGAAATAGGTGCATAGACAATTACAAAATTAAGTGAAACATGTTATAACAAAAGTTGTAATAAGTCATAAATAATAAGCATTTAATTCCAGTGATGGGGAATGAGAAGACAGTGAGAGGCCCAGCAAAACCTGGACAGGGAAAGCCATAGAGAAGAAGTAATATTTGAGCTGTAATGGGATGAGGCACTGGGGTCCACCCAGCTCAAAGCTGACCCTCTGGATTCCTTCAAGGTATCCAGTGCTCTCATTCTGCCCTGCTCTATTAGCCTCTAGTTAACTCTCCAAGTTTCACACATATACTCTCAAAAATGGCCACACCTTTCTGCTATCTTTTCCTAAGGAATGCCTGAAGCTGGGGAAAATAAGGCAGCCCATTCAAGGGATAACTGTCTGAAAAGAGAACATATCAAAACAAAATGTATCGATCCAAAGGAGTAAACTTCAAGGATGGAAAGCTGAGAACTATGGCAGGGAGTAGACCCTTAAATCACATCAGCACCAGACTATCAAAAAAAAGTCAAGAGGAAAAAAACCCCTCTGTTTTCTGAAATGGCTGATTCTTTTTGTCTCTTTCTCTGACATCAAATAAATGTGATTAGCAATGGGAGTACTCCTTGTAAAATTGCTTCTGACCCAACTATTAGCTGGGAGGACCAACTGGGGACCTCTGGGAACAGGGCAGAACTCTCTGTACATATTATCAAGCAGCCTCTCATTCTGGGTGAAACAAGTCCAGAAGACAGAAAGCCAGGAACTCTGAGCACACCTCCACACACCACTTCTACAGAGGTCAGATCATTCCTGGGCCATTTACCAATTACACTGTATGGCTAACAAGGTTGGAGGAATGGATTTCTAGGGCTACAACAGGAAGGAGTTCTTTTAGGATGTTAATCTTTGGGAAAGAATCAATGTTTACAAAGATTGTCAGAGAAAGTGGTCAGAGTCACATGGCATGAAGAGTGAGATTAGCTAACAGGAATAAAGAATGCCCTAGATAAAACTAGGTACTACAGTTCCTAGGACTTGCCATTCCTCCTCATCAGCATTAGGAGGAACCCCATTTACACACCAGAAGCTAGACATGGTAAAGGAAAGAAAACCTCAAGCATTATATCCAAAAGGGGAGACAGAACTTTGGGTAACATAAAGTAGCATGAGGAAGGATGCAGCCTTCAGAGGGTTAGCATATCAAGACCGTAAAATGAGTAAAAAACACCAGTCACAAGAGCTGAATATTCTTACCCTGTCCAGGGCTTCCTGTCAGCAGTACCAGGTTTACTATACCAAGGAATATAACCAACCATAAAACAAATACATATGCACCCAGAATCAGATACTCATGACAAAGACTCTCTCTTTTGACCAAATCTGAGTCTCGTTGCTCTAAGTCCTCTTTCTGACTAGGCCCCTGCTTTTGAGCTCTGTTTAGTCCACTTTTGCCAAGAATCCTGCTGGCTCAGCTTATGAACACTCTTCATCTTTGATATCTGACCAAATTCCTTATCCACCACCTTGGCCTCCCTCCAGCAAAACTCATGTCAAGTCAGTTTAGTCAGACTTCGCCCTACCCTTGCTGTTTCCTCTTAGTAATTTTTTTTTTAAAGATTTTATTTATTTGGGGCGCCTGGGTGGCTCAGTGGGTTAAGCCTCTGCCTTCGGCTCAGGTCATGATCCCAGGGGCCTGGGATCGAATCCCGCATCGGGCTCTCTGCTCAGTAGGGAGCCTGCTTCTCCTCATCTCTCTCAGTCTGCCTCTCTGCCTACTTATGATCTTCGTCTGTCAAATAAATAAATAAAATCTTTAAAAAAAAAAGATTTTATTTATTTGTTAGAAAGAGAGAGACAGAGAGCAAGCACAGGCAGACAGAGTGGCAGGCTAGAGGCAGAGGGAGAAGCAGGCTCCCCGCCGAGCAAGGAGCCTGATGTGGGACTCGATCCCAGGATGCTGGGATCATGACCTGAGCCGAAGGCAGCCGCTTAACCAACTGAGCCACCCAGGCATCCTCCTCTTAGTAATTTTGATCCACAGACCCTCCACCTGCTCCCTGACTATAAATTCTCACTTCTCCTTATATTCAGAGTTGGGCTCAATCTCTCTCCCCATTACAATACCCCAATGTAATAATCACCTTGAATATAGTCTGCCTTAATGTCTTTAACAAATGTCACAGCATTTTTTTTTCTGAAGCACGCATTATAATCTTTTTTTCCTTACTACTTCATGGTTCTCATGAGTAGACTGAAGAAGACATATGAGCAGGAATCTAGTTAGCCCCTGAATACTAGCCCCTCCCAACAAAAAAAATCCCACATTCTCTATCTCCTTACTCTGCTATAGTTTCTTCAAAGAACTTACTACCACCTACCTGATAGGCAATAAACAAGCAAACAAATATATGATCTATCTCTGTAACCACCTCTCTATTCTGGAATGTAAGCAGGAACTTTGTTTTGGTCATTACTATATTCCCTGCACCTAGAACAGTGCCTGGCATGTATGGTGCTCAAAACAAACAAACAAACAAACAAACAAATAAACAAACAAAATCTTGCCATTGAATAAAAGGAATCAGAACACCAAATCAGAAAAGTTGAGTTGAAAGAGTCTTTGATAGAATATTAGACCCAGAATCTCATACTACATTGTGATCTAGCTTATGGAGGAGTTGTATTTAGATATCGCAGTGTTTTTCTAAATTTTATATGTATAAATCTTTATAGGCTAGGCAGCTACTCTAGATCCTCAGAAGCTCTATTACCCAAGTTTAAACCCATGACCTAAAATGACACCCTTGCTGTTAATCTGTTTTACTTCGGCAGACCCCTAAAGGGGAAGTTCTCACTTAAGGACCCACAGTGGATATGAATTCCATTACACAGGAAGCTGTGCTTTGTTTTTTAATTCCCAATGCCTAGCACAGGGCACTACTATGCCAAGCATATGGCCTGGCACACAGTGAGAACTCAGTGCCATGGAAAGAATAAATGAATAGAATAAAAGAATAGATGGTAGAACTGCAATAGTCTAGTCTCCTAAATTCTAATTCACTTTTGTTTCCATAACAATACGTGGCTTCGAGTTCTAGGTTACTTCTAGATTGATGGCTTACAACCCCCCCCTTTTTTTTTTAAGATTTTATTTATTTATTTGACAGATCACAAGTAGGCAAGAGGCAGGCAGGAAGAGAGAGGAGGAAGCAGGCTCTCCGCAGAGCAGAGAGCCCAATGCGGGGCTCGATCCCAGGGTCCTGGGATCGCGACCTGAGCCAAAGGCAGAGGCTTTAACCCACTGAGCCACCCAGGCGCCCCTTACAACCCCTTTTTATTGTAAAAACTAAGTTGGAAACCTCTCCTCAAATACACTTAAATTTTCCTGAGGACTTGTGCAGGACAGCTAAAGAAGGTAGTGGCAGCAGCTGTGCCATGGTTCCTACCATCCCCAGAGCTGCTATCATGGGGCTTCCATTTGCCCTTCCAGCTGGAAGAGCTACCCCAATCCTTGTGCTGGATGACAGGTCTAGAACAGCACTGTCCATTAGAAACATAATGTGAGCCACATTATGTAATTTAAATATTTCTAGCAGTCACATAAAAAGTTAAAAAAAGTATAATTTAATATATTTTATAATTCATTATCCAAAATATTAATCATTTCAACATGTAATCAATATTAAAAATTATTCATCATGTATTTGCATTCTTTTTTCACACTGAGTCCTTGAATTCTGGTATATATCTTACATTTGCAGCACATCTCAATTGAGACTAGCCTGCCTGCCAAGTACTCAACTACCACATGTGGCCAGTGGGCCTGCCTGCCAAGTACTCAACTACCACATGTGGCCAGTGGCTACCATATTGGACACACAAGTCTAGAAGGCTGAGAAAGGGGACACTGTATAGAGCCTTCAAAACCTGACACAGAGGGCGCCTAGGTGGCTCAGTGGGTTAAAGCCTCTGCCTTCGGCTCAGGTCATGGTCCCAGTGTCCTGGGATCAAGCCCCGCATCCGGCTCTCTGCTCAGCAGGGAACCTGCCTCCTCCTCTCTCTCTCTGCCTGCCTCTCTGCCTACTTGTGATCTCTATCTGTCAAATAAATAAAATCTTTAAAAAAAAAAAAAAACCTGACACAGATGGCTGGCTGCCATCTCAGGGGCAGCAGAATGCTCTGTTCTTTTACTCATCTATTCACCTTCTCACTTTGATCCTAGCTGGAGCTAGTATATTTCCATTTTGCGACAGGTTCAATCCTCAAGGCTACAAAGAATAAGGCCCAAAACTACAGAGGATGAGACCTTTTCTCTCTCTCAATCTAACCCTTTCTAGACACTCAGTAGCAATAGGTAGCTTTTTTTCCAATACTCTGGTTAAAACTACAGGTTAAATCTAATTACTTCGATAAAAGCTACCCCTCTGCAGGGAAGACTTACGGACTTTTTAGACAAGAGCACAATCTCAGCGCAGCTGAGTCAAAGACTATCCTATACAACTCACACTAGAGGGACATGTAACAATAGTAAAATTATATTTGTTTAGAATTTTACAGCTTACATGACTCCTATTTTATCATGACATATTATCATCATAACCCTATGAGGCAGGAAGGAAGATTCTTCTTATTTCATAAATGAGAAAAATTAGCTCAGAGAGGTTAAATGACTTGACCAAGGTCACTGAGTAGTTAGGATTTGAAAGGAGATCTTCAATCTATAAAGTTAGTGCTATTTTTATCACACACACGATGCAAATGGACAAATTATTATGCATAGTGTATACACTCAAGACTGAGAAAACTCAAGATGACTTTTCTGTCTATACGGCATATGTACACATGTGAGGAAAAAATTAATACATCACACACACACTCACACACTGGAAAAATAGTAGGGTTTCTTAATATATAAAGGCATATACCAGAAGAAGAAAGTTACCCAAGTATATACACACATGCATGAGATAAAGAGATTATATCTATGTATGCACATGGAGGGAGATATGGCTTGTGTATATTCATTCAAAATGAATGAATGAGTTGAGTGAGTTTCTATTATGTGTGTACACACAGGAAAGGAATGGTCAGTTTATAAACATATGGACATATCAAAAGGGAGAAACAGATTATTTGTATGTAAGTATGCACACATTCAGAGGGGTGGCTAAGTTATTTATATACATACAGGAGAGTACCAAGGAAGAACCGATGGTCAGATTATCAGTATATAAACACATGCACATGAAAATTCTACCCCCAGTGCTGAGTATGCTATTTTTCACGCATTTTAATGACCCCCACCAGCAAGTTGGCTCAAGCAGTTATGTAATTAATGTAGCTACTCTGTATTCCACCCACAAATGCTTTGCTTTTGTCCCTGCTTGTCGTTCAGAGTCAGTTATACATTTGATACCACTTACCTTGCTGCTGCAATCAAAATAAGAGTTAAGGAAATGAAAAGGAAAAAAAAAAACATTAAAATCACAAATTCTCAAGTTTTAGAATGCAAGTGCTGTCTTTAAGAGGAAATCCGCTCAGGGGCACTCCTCGGTTTAACAGAGAAGCCACAGGATGAACTTTCTAAGCCACAGCATGGCTGCTTGCCCAACGGACAAACAGAGCCAAGGAGCTATTATTCTCAGTTGCACCAGCTGGCTGGCTCCACCGTGCAAAGTTGATGATAGGAACAATGCCCAGCAGAGAAATCCCCTCAGTGAAAGGCTGGGCAGGAGTCTCGCTGGCTACAAATCTAGGAATCCAATCTGGTCCAGACTTCTGCTGAGGGGGACTCTGATGACCGGCCCTGCTGAAGGCAATAGCAGCCAAACTTCAATTGGATGTGGAATTCTAACCCAATCGATTCCAGGCTTTGAGACTGAGACAGAAAGCAGGGCAGCTACTGCTCCTGCTGCTGCTCCTCCTCCTCTCCAGCTGCTTCCTGCCTGCAACCTCCCATAGGGCACCAGCCCTCCTCACACGTTCCTGGCGCACACACCCCCTTTCCCAGAACACTCACGCACACACAAACCTCGCCAGCAAGCTCACTCACACACCCTTGGTGAGTGTCTCTCCCTCTCACTAAATATAGATCTTACTCTCTCCCCTCCCCCATTTCTTTCTCTCATTCTTCTCCCCCGCCCTCCTTTCTTCTCCCCTGCCTATCTACCTCTCTCATGCCTGGGCTATCAGATATAAAGAGACATAGGACCAAAGACCTATATACTTTGAGGAGCTCCCAGTCTCAGAGAGAAGACAGAATACAGCAAGAAATTGCAAGAGCACAATACAAAGCGAGTCTTGCTTTCTACTGAAACAAATTGTAGGCTTTTTGATTAGTTGGTTGTTTTGGGGCTTTTGTTTTTGTTTTTGCTATATATAATCTGTTTTCTGCATTTGGCAAAGCTGGAAAACAGGTTAAGTACCCAAGATCAGTTAACATCAAATAGCACTATGCTCTCAGAGTGGATACTTAGTCCAGTTCTTCCTGAACAGCCACAGCAAAATAACCAACTGGAAAACAGGAACTCCCTTAGGCTATGCCAAGGCAATGATTAGGGAGAAGCAGGGGAAGCTGGTTGGGCTGAGGTAGACCCTCTACTGCAGAAGTCTGGACCACAGATTGTTTTGAGATCCAGAATTAGGAACTAAGTAGACTAAAGTGAAATCACATTGACCAAGCTATTAAGATTCAAGGCCCCAGTTTCATGATCCCAAATTTTGCAGTTCCTCTTTGCCAATGGCAGCCCCATCTCCATGGAGAGCTGCTAGTCAGGTGGCTCTCACGTGGTCCTAATTTCTAATAACTCAACAATTCTACTTAGGACTCACCAGGAAATTGAATGTCCTTATCTTCAAAGAGCACTCAAGTTGTTCATTGCAACATAATGCCAAACATAAGCCAGAAATCCTTGAAGCCATGGAGCATAAAATGCCAAATACATCAAACATACAATACTCCTTTCCACTCTGCACCCACAGGACAGGAAAAACACTGTTTGAGTCCAAAGAAACTCAGAATTCTTTTCAGTATAGGGCTCCAATTAACCAGTAACAATCCAGTGAAGCCATTCCTATTCCACCTCCTCTGAGCCTGATTAAATAAGAAGGCCCTTCTCTTCTTCAGGCCAAAGGAAGGTGGACAGAATTGATTCACCCAGCATGTCCAAGCCAGGCTCTCAACATTCTGCTGTCCTGCAACATTCTTCATGACAATCCATAATCAAACATGGCCTTTGTTAGCCAGGAATCAGGAAGTCAGTCCATGGGGGCCACCCGAGAAACTGTCACTGCAGAACAGGCAGCCCTATATGGTAGATAAAATAAGCTTTTAAATGAAGAATGATTTCCTTGGCTTATCCAAGATCCTGAGGAGAAATGCTGATTCCAGAGCCAACATTTGCCTCCCTACTGCCTTTTTCCAATAACATTGCTTCCCCCTCAACCCAGGAAGAAAATTTAGATTCCAAGAGATGTTAAACAACCCATTTCTTAACCATCTACCTCATTATGCAGCCAACACTAACAGCAGAGCAAATACCTCCTAACCCAGTCGGGAGCTGGCTGGATGACAGAAGAGATAAGGACTGACAGTGCAACTATAACCACATTTAAATACAGAAAAAAAAAAATCACTTGAAAAGTGTCAAATTTCAGTGGAAGTCACAGCCAATTTACTGAGGAGCTTCCCATATTTCAGCCAGAAGAAAGAGGCAAAGGGTTTAAAACAAGAAATACAGGGACGACTGATTAAATCAGAATTCCCTCCCACTCATAAAGAGCCCAGAGAATGGCTGTCATTATCAGGTTTGGGTGTGGGCTTCCTATTCTGAGAAGCTCAAACTCTCAAGAGTAGGAATGATCTTCAGAGCTAGGACACTGACTAAAAAACCCAATTCTTCCTGCCTCATCCACCAGTCGCTCCAGGACCTGGCTGAGGCTTTAGATGTTATACCTGAGGTTAATGTGACCCTGTCTTATCCAGTTGCCTATTCAAACACATTCAGCTCATCTTCAAATCAACTTGGGTTTTCCAGGAAAATAAAGGCTCAGACAGGAGAAGACATGTTTACAACAGAAGGCATAACAAATTTGCAACCTCTAGTTATGGTCTTCAAACTTCACAAGAGAGTTCATATGGCTTTGACCATAAATTACCTTTATATCTTTCCACCTTCCCATATTTCAGCAAAAGTACGGAGAGTAAATGGGAAAGTGGTAAACAGCTGTCAGTACAAGCTCTTGTTTTAAAAAAAAAAAAAAAAAAGGCAGGCTCCTTCTACCAATCAACAGGGCCCATAGACTGCCAGATATCATATGACCAAAGGACAGTTAGTTAGACCTCTTCTGTGGACTAGCCTTTTGGGATAAACACATACTTTCTGTTTCCTGAGCCATATGAGTTAACAATGCAGCCTTCTTGTCACAGTGGATTCGGCTCTCAGGAATCCTAGGCAGGCTAAAAGGATGGGGGTGCTTTTAGGGGTAGGAAATAGCATAAGCACCCACCTCAGTTGGGAAGCTTCCTCAAAGCAGGGCTTTTCAAGAGCTAGCTGGGCAGAATTGGAAAAACAGATTGGGTTAAGAAGGAAAAGGCATTTATCCAGAAGCTGTGAAATGCTCTGAACAGACATTCTCAAGGTCTGGTTCCCAATTTAAATCTTTGCAGGGATCTTCGCCTAGAGATAGATGAGTCAAGATGGAAATTCAACATGAGACACTGACACTCACGCAGAGTTGTGGGAAGGTTCAGAGCTGCAGGAGCTCTAAAGGGGAACCGAATGGGTGGGTTAGTCAGAAGACCACCTGGCACACAAAATTCATCCTTGGTTAAAGCGTCTGAGTGGAGTCACAGGGATACTGGAGGAGGGGCTCACCAACTACAATTCTCCCCTTTTATATAAACCATTGAAGTTGGGGCACCTGGGTGGCTCAGTGGGTTAAGCCTCTGCCTTCAGCTCAGGTCATGATCTCAGGGTCCTGGGATCAAGCCCCACATCAGGCTCTCTGCTCAGCAGGGAGCCTGCTCCCCCCCCCACCTGCCTCTCTGCCTATTTGTGATTTTTGTCTGTCAAATAAATAAAATATTTTTTAAAATAATAATAAACCATCTAGGGGCACCTGGGTGGCTCAGTGGGTTAACGCCTCTGCCTTTGGTTCAGGTCATGATCTCAGGGTCCTGGGATCGAGACCCACATGGGGCTCTCTGCTCAGCGGGGAGCCTGCTTCCTCCTTTCTCTCTCTCTGCCTGCCTCTCTGCCTACTTGTGATCTCTGTCAAATAAATAAATAAAATCTTTAAAAATAATAATAATAATAAACCATCTAAGTCTCCCTTGGGCCTGATATGACTGGTCCAAAAGCAAAGAATGGGCCTGCTCCAAATCTGGTCTGCCTTTCCAGGTGTTGCTGCCAGAAAATGGTGGGGTCAGAACCAGTAGGTGCCTACCTCATCTCCCAATGTTGACAGTCACATACAAGGATGCCCAAGGATAGGTGGAGCCAAAGTCTGACTTATATCAGAATAAGTCCATGACTCTTTTTCTTCTCTACCACTAAGTAAAGCCATAAGCAACAAGAGAGGCAGACATGGGTCACACAAGTAGGATCTGTTTCATCAGGAAAATAGTTTGTTCTGGTGCCTGAGAAAATTCTTTGTTCCCCCTAGAATTATGCCCTCCATAAACTACTCAGAAATTGCATGCAAGAGAGAATGATGGGCAATGGAAGGTGATTCTCCTTCCCTCAGGAACATGCCACCCTAGGGAAGTGATGATCCTGGCAGAGATGTGCTGACTTTACTGATATACTGACACATAGCTGCTACACAGACTAAATCAGACCTGACAAGCTGCAAGGCAGGCCTAAGAGTCACAAACTGCTGACAAATTTCAGTACTACAATCAGGTCAAGCACCATCCCTGATCAGCAAAAACTTAGAGGGATAAACTCCTCAGGACTACCAGGTTAAACAGGTTTTTAGCCTGTACCTCCAAAGGCTGTGGCCCCATTTCCATTCCAGGACCAAATGATTAAAAACTCATAATCGAAGGAGTCTACATGTTTATTGCCCTCTCACATAAACCTGTTCAAATGTCACAGCTCCCAGATTTAGAACTAAGACTGGTCCCGAACTATTACCTACTTAAATACATCTCAGTACAATCCACAAAGTACACTGGCCCTGCCTCAACCTCTATACCTAAGGAAGCCAAGGGACCATATGTGAAGGATTCTCTAATAGGAATCCAAAATTTGAAATTTCATGGAGAAATGAACCCTTTATACCCTAAGGTGGCTATATTCTAACTGGCTTAATATTGATCAAATATTTGTGCTTGTTCTGAGATATACCTTAGGGTAAACCCAAATCTGGAGAATTCTTTTGGTATAAGACCTTGCTTCCATAAGCTTTTCAAAATATGTTCTTAGCTAGCATATGAATGCTAAGTGTCCTGGGAATCAATGAAGGGACCTCAAAGAGGAGGGTTCTCCATATATTCAAAAATATCTGGTATGAAGCACTGAATTATAAAAAGGTAGCTAACATTCAAATGGGGAAAGAGGCAAGTACTCAACTAGAGTCAAGAGAGAAAGCTAGACTTAGCTGGCAAAGCAAGGAATGCCAAGGGAAAGCCTGTTGGTGGCAGTGGCACTGGAGTCCTACACTGCCAACTCACCCATACCAATCACACAGGGAGATGACCTCTGCTCAAACACAAGGCCTTTAAAACCTCTATATTCTAATTCTCCATCCAGTGACAGAATCCCCTGCAAAACCCTCTGTCCATCTATCACATGTCACCAAGTCTAATCTATTGTACCTTGCTATCTATAAAATCTTTCCCCTTCTGGGGGACCTGGGTGGCTCAGTCACTAAGCATCTGCCTTCAGCTCACGTCATGATCCCAGGGTCCTAGGACAGA